AAAAAGACATATATATATATATATATATATATTCTCCTTGATGTGGCTGAAAGGAGAAATTATTCAATACACTTGATGAAATTTATTAATAATGTTTCATTAATTCACTTGACACATTTTCTCACTTTTGTTTTTCTTGTAACTTATCAAAGACTTTTCCATTTTAGCACTTTAATTTCTAATTATAATAATATATATTTATAAGAATCAAGGTCGTACCCTCCATTACTAGAAATGAAATGATTGGAAAGATCTTTTTTTAAAAATAACGAATTTCAATTCCCGTATTCAAAAGGAATCTTTAGAAGCCGTCCAGAGACTATTATTAAATATAAGATCGAAAAAAGGGCGGAGTTTTGGAATAGCGGTCAATCGGACCATTACACACTTTATTTTAGAAACAGCTGTTGAGTATAATATTTGAACGCGTGCCAATAAAGTCCCTGCTGGGTATATTTTTCTCGGATCTTCAATAATTTTTTTTTTTCGTTCTTTCTTGTTCATTGTTTTTCCGTCTGTCAATTCATTTGTAGCTTAGAGTCCCTACTGGCCATATTATGAGACGCGCTCTAAGATTCTATGCAAACTCTTAATTATCAGGTGATACTTTATAGCAGTGACTCTCAACCTTTTTTTTGTGGCGGCACACTTTTAACGATTTCGAAATTTGACGGCAGAAAACGTAAAAAATTAGTTTAAAAGTTGTTTACTTACCCATGTTAAACAGTTTGTGAGAATAATTTTGAATGTGAAATGAAATAATATGTACTACAAAAGCACGTTTATTAAGGGATTAATTATTTCTACCGACTAATTTTTTGTTAGTTAGTAACAGTTATTTATTTTTTTGCTAGTTATTAATTGTTAGCTTGTTTTCTATAGTTATTATCTGTTCGCTTTTTTTACATTAATTCGTATTCTTTTGTGATTTCCTGCAAACTAGATTTTTTGCTAATTATTAATTGTTAGCTTATTTTTTGTTAGTTGTCCTTTGTTAATTTGCTTTTATAACCATTTATTTCATAGCTTTCTTCAATGATTAGTTTTTATTTCCGTTAGAAAGTTATATTTAGCTTGCTTTCCTTTGTTTATTAATAATTTTAATAGTCATTAAATTTCCTACACTTTTTTTAAAATTAAACTTTACTCGTAATAAAAAATATTTGGCATTCAATGTATAAATAATCATCATAATTTAATATATAATAGTTTATAAATAATCATTTCTAATATTTGGCGGCACATTCTAAGAATTTGGCGGCACACAAAAGTGCCGCGGCAGAGTGGTTGAGAATCACTGCTTTATAGCATATAGAGTGTTACTCGGTTGAAACACGTTTCCACTTGTTTACGTTCGTGTATTAATGGGTTTAACATTGTCATGCAATACGTTAAAAATAAATACAAATGGGAAGCATAAAAAAAATCTCCCGAATAAAAACCCAGTTTAAATATAAAAGTATTGACTCTAAACGCGTGCAAATCACGTTATTATTGAAACACTACTGTGAGCTTCATCATTGGGTCTAATTATTATATTGTAATACCTGATATAATAAATATTCTATATTTATGTAATATATCGTCTAATTTATATTATGTATCCTCTCATTTAACCCATTGAATACAGGAACGTAATCAAGGGCAAACAGTCTCGTCAAAACAATGTACAGATAGTATATCATCTGATCATTAAGATTATTACACAGAATCTTAAAAGAGTGAGTCTCATCATTTGGTGAGGGACTGTAGTAGCTGACTGATAGTTTAGGTACCTTAAAATGACTGCAACATCTATCTATATACGCTTGACCTCAAACATCGCAGAAATGAATCCTATTGATTCTTTTTTTTTTAAGCTCTCTTATGTATTAGTTCTTAGAAATAAGTTTAGTTTTTATTTAAAAAAAAAACTTTATTGTTCTACCATGTAGTACTTGCATTCTAAGAAGACGATCCACGCGTGAGACCCCAGCTAGTCTTTATCTCAGCAGTAATTAAAGTTGATCTTTAATTTTAAGTTAATCAAATTCAGAGCCGTATAGAATGTGTTGGAATGTAATTCTTCCTACTTCACTTACAAGGGAAACTAGGGAAGTGTGACTCGTCAATTTTGAAATAAACTAGTGGGATGTATGCCTTATGAGGAATAATTTTAGGGGGCAACATTCGTTTCGGCCCATAGAAGGTCCTATGAGAGATAAAAAATAATTCAATATAAAGAAAAATCGGTATTTTATTACTTCAATGCAGACTATTAGTTATTGTAATTGTCTCATACTCCAATTAATTTGTAATTAATTGGTTAATTAATTAATTTTCTAATTAATAAATTAATTAGCAAATTAATTAATTAATTATTAATTAATTGATTGATTTGCAATTACATGCTCCAATTAATTTGGAAAATTTTTGAAAAAAAAAAGAAAAAAATTTGATGTCAATTTTTTTTTTTAAATTAACCTAACAGGTTTTTCTGAAAAACTACAGATATATAAAATTTTCGAAATCAATTTTGACAATAAATATGCATTATATAGTACGTGAAAGTACCACAAAATTAATTGGAGTATGAGACAATTACAATAACTAATAGTCTGCATTGAAGTAATAAAATACCGATTTTTCTATATATTGAATTATTTTTTATCTCTCATAGGACCTTCTATGGGCCGAAACGAATGTTGCCCCCTAAAATTATTCCTCATAAGGCATACATCCCACTAGTTTATTTCAAAATTGGCGAGTCACACTTCCCTACTTTCCCTTGTTAGATTTACTATTTGTTTACGTATTTTATTCTAACCGTGATATAGTATTTTTGTTTTGTGTTCAACTTCGATGCATAATAAGTTTGTTTATGTTCTACGTGGATTCTTACTTGCCTTTCTGTAAATATAGAATTGAAATCTTTGTGAAAGAATATAACCTGTGTTACATAAGAGAATGGATACTTGAGAAGTTTGGCTTACTCGAAATAGAATGGAAAGAACAGTTGCTAACGTAAGCAAATGCCACGTTTCAACAACTCATCAGGATCGAGATACACACACTAGGCAGGTATCCCATTTTACTCTCAAACATTTCTGAGTTCGCTTACCTTAGTTTTATTATTCTAAAAGTTAGCTTTAAAAAAAACTAAACTTTAATTTTAAATTAAAATGAGTGTTCAGTTTGATAGGCTCGATTTCACACTTCAAATATTTTAGATATTTATAAATTTAAAAAAAAAAATCGTACGTCACGAAAGGTTTTAAGGGAATAACACCACTCATGACCTCTCTAGTAAACTTATTGACGACATTTAACAACATAATTTTTATTTCATTTTTTTGTTCTTTTATAGTAAGGATACATGTTAATGAAATTCAGAAATTTCAGCCAGTTTTTTGATGCGTTTTTCTGTGAATTCTAATGAAACTTAATTTAAAATCAATTTAATTTCTGAAATATCGCTTATTGAATCAGTATCAGAGCCTGACAAAGGCTGGGGCATCCGGGGCAGTTGCCCCGGGCCCCACATGAGAGGGGGGCCCAAATCGAATTAAAAAATTATTTTAAATTTCCATCTTTAATGAATTTTTTTTAAATAAGATATCAGTACAGTGTAAAATCCATCTGTTTTATGTTAGCTTCTTCATTAATCTATCGTATGAACACAAATAATCTATTTTTCGTAAATCCATGGCTTTCTTGTGCGGAATTCAGCTGAATTTTTGCAACTACGATCCAATCAAAAGCCTGTATTTTCACATATCGCAAAACGCGATATTTTACAAAAATACAGGCCTCTGATGGGCTTAAGAGTGCCATTGCGAAAATTTCCTCCCTAATGTCAGAAAGGATTCGCAGCTGGATGATAAAGTTAACAATCAGAAAACAACAATCGGTATGATGGACATGGAATAGTCAGAAAATCAGTAAAATGAACAGAACTATACCACTAGAGGGGGAGGGGACTTTGCATGCTATTTTAGGTTCTTTATAGCTATTTTAGGTTCCAGTCAATTTTCTTGTTATATATGTATAATGAGGTGAAAAATTCAAATACCTCCATATAGTTCAGAGTGGGGGGGGGGCAAAGAAGTTTCTGCCCCGAGCCCCATCTAGGCTAAGTTGGAGCCCTGATCAATATTACTTTTCTAATAGACGGTATTCATGACAGACAGTTATAATCACGTGTTTAATTATTTTTCTAATATTACCCAGGAAATCCAGTTTTTTTTTAAAGAAAGAGGTATATTATGTATAGTATGTCACAAAATACATATTCATTTTCGCTTTGTCATCCTATGGTGGAATAGTGAATGTTTACGTTGGTGAACAGTAACAAAACAAAACTTTATAAATTCTTCGGTAACTTTGAAAAGATAAAAATAATAATAACGAAAAGAAACGAAAGAAATAGCTGCTTAGCATAGTGTTGTATACTTTTTTGTACGGTAAACTCATCGTTTTGATGAACGTACAACTAGTCACACTAATAGCTTTTAAAGTAAATTAGTGTTGATGTTATTGACTTAAAGATAACCCTCATTATTGTTTTCCGAATATTGAAAAAATAAAAAAAAAAATAAATAGTGCGACGTCATAATTCACGAATGTCTATAACTATAGGAATAGGTTTGTCTTTGAAAGATAGGTTAAAGTTTATGAATGAAACAAGAGTGCGTTGAGAGGAAAAAGGAAGCAACTCACCTGCAGCCGCAGATGGATGGAGTGGTGTCGACTTTGAAAACTGTGGACAGGGGGGGGGGGGGGGGGGTCAAGANGGAAACAACTCACCTGCAGCCGCAGATGGATGGAGTGGTGTCGACTTTGAAAACTGTGGACAGGGGGGGGGGAGGCGGTGTCAAGACACTAAAAAAAGAAGAATGTGGTTACCGGGGCAACCGGCAACAACGTTGGGTGCTTTCAATGTCGGTCAATGCCTACAATAAACAATGTTATTGGAAAAGAACCTATTTTGTTTTTTTTTACAGGCCATTTCAAATCGTTAAACAATTCTACCTCTACTCTTGTACACACATCATGTGAATTCTAACGTGAAGGGGGAAAAAAAACACAGTTCCATAAAATAGTATTTTGAAATTATTCAATTCATAAACAGTGGAGGGAGGGGGCAAAAAATAAAGTGAACGATAAATAAGATAAGAAACCAAATTTATATCTCGCCGTAGAAAAAGAGTGTCGCTTTGACAGAAAATTTCCATCTCTTAACCGCAAAAACTGTTAGATGATAAAATAAGTTCAATAATGGTCTTATCTCTTATCCTTCCTTCTAAGCGAGATAAGATGCCAACTTATTTTGATGGAGAACTAATGACATAAAAATATTAAATCTTGCTGATTTGATATACAGAATACAAACCCCGCTATAGTGAACACGGTTTATAGTGAACGAAATGTTCGGTCCCGTACCTTGCTATACACATACAATATTATTTTTTGTGGATAGATTGAACCAAAAGAAGAGAGGAAACTTTTCTTCTGTCTTCGACTGATTTTTCTTCTTCATTTTTTATGTAATAATTTTGAAATGTCTGCTTCGAAATAAATACTTATACTGATTTTTAAAACCATCTATAGAGTGAAATGTAGCTATAAGCATTATATCTTGTTTGCTTCTTTTATCCCACTTTCCCATCCCTAAACAAAGGCCAACACAGGCAGAAGTATAGACACATTTTTCCACGCATCAGCTAAAGAATACTAATTTTTTTTTTACACAAGTCGAAGAGTCATGAAAAATAAAAGCATTTTTTGTTGCCACGTATTATTTTTCAGTCATTTTTGTATTTCCTTTAATGGGTCATTTATTTAAATAATGTATAATAAAAAGAAGGAGTTAGGAACTATTCGTTAAACTTGTTTGCAGAACGGATAATGTGAACTCCCGGTTATGGTGAACCGAAATGTCGGTCCCTTAAAGGTTCACTATCTATTGATTTTAACCACTTCATTTATGGAACGGCCCCAACCGTAACAAGTTTAACAACCGATTCGATTCGGGCCGTTGAAATCAGATTTCAAGTCGTTTCATAAGAATGAAATATGTCATTTCATGTTTTCTTTTGAAAAACAAAAATAATGAATATACGAAGCTTGATGTGAAGTGGAATGAAAGGAACTTTTAATAGTTGGATGCCATTCTATTTATTATAAAATAACTCTATCCATTAAAGTCAATTCACAATAGTCCCTCTCGACGGTATACATTAAAAATATATACAAAAACGATAGAGAATTTCAATGGAATACAATTAAAAAATGAAGGGAAAAAAAACTTCTTGAAAAAAGTATTATTTGTATAGTATTATAATAACACACTATGATTGAACGGTATAACGACGTTAGAACTGCCTAAAAATAATCACAAAGTTTGGAAAACGACTCTTCGAGAACTTTAAATGAATCCTTCATATTTTTTAAAGCATCTCATTTTATTCGAATAAATACGTTCAATCTGGCCGACCCACGGCCGGAATAGAATCGGTTGTTACAGTCATATAATTATTAACAGGCTGAATGAACACCCTCATATTTTTACATGGCTTGCCCGTCTGGCCAAAATGATTTTCTCAGTATGTATTGCATTCATTTCTTCAAACCATTTTAATAACGATAATAATATGAAAACATTAAAGATTTACTCCAATTATGTGTTTCTAATAATCTTGGCTTCGCCGGTCATCGGTCACCCCCCATGGCCTTCAACGCGTTATCGGAGAGTATAATTATTTCAGTTCTTCCACAAGAGTTGTGATTTAATGAGAAGACAAAGAAAGAATAGAAACAGTTTCTTTATTAATTATACAATAGTGATTATGCTGAGTTGAGGTAACGTATCCAACTGTCTGGCATGTGCTGCATGATTCGAAAGGAGAGACTGATTGCACCCCACAACAGATAATGAGAGAGATTCGTCCTCTTCAGAAGGATGTACAACACTCCCAACAGAACACTCACCTGTCCCAAGATGCCTGCATAGTACAGCCTGCAGAAGAGAGAGAGAATTCAACAATCACTCCTCTCCTACACAGTTCAAAAGAGAGATAAAAATATCCTTTACCTGTTGATTTTTTTCCTTGCCGCTGGCAATGTGGAATCATCTTCACCGAGAATATATTTCCTCACTCCTAGAACATAACTCTCCAGATAAGGAGTCCACTCAATCGGTCGAATGTCGATGTCGAATTCCTATGAAAAGATTACGAATTTAAGGTGATGCGCCCTTCACCGAGTATTCAATGTTAAATAATAAAACAAAATGAAAGAATCCTTAAGTGTCAATAAATTTAAGAAAATAAATCTAAAAGCAAATGGATTGAATAAATTTGAATGACCATCCGCCTGAGAATGCATTTACTAATAAGTCAACAAAAATATTTAATATTTTGCAGATACACGATTTCACAGACTTTTTTAAAAAAAAAGAAGAATTTTTATTTTTTTGATGGAATTGAGAGAGCAGGATTTAAATAGTCCTCGTTACATATCTTCATTTAAGACATCAAACAGTCTATTGTTGCTATTCAAGCCTAATAAGTAAAACACTGTTGTTGTTCATTATTAGCTGAATAACCCGTCTTTCACAAAACAAAAGTATAATCAATCCATCGGTATGGATCAACGTAACGAAATTTCATACGAAACACATATATCGGTACAATTAATAAAAACGAAATAATTTCAAATTTTAGGTCATTTTTGACCCTTTCATTTTTGCCGATCTTAGCGTAAAAGAGATTCTTCAGACTTTTTACAAATCTATTTAAAACAACTGAAACACATTAAAACTGGAACAGATGATCCCGCATAAATTCAGCAAAATAAGAATCGAAGATTTCATGAGATACCTGGCGAATATTTTGTTAGCGAAATTCTAGCTTTGTCTGGTTTCAATTCCATTGGTATGAGCACCCGTTCTCGGAATCAATAAAATTCAAGGGAATCGAGCCTTCCACTGAGGTGAACCGGGTTCGAATCCCAGCCATGACTGCTCGATACGCAACCCGCACCAATATTAAAAATAATGTTGTATTCTATAATCATCTTTTTGATATACTTGATTAAAAAAAACTTCATGGGCTTCAAAAAATATGAAGATGGAAATAAAAGTTGAGATGTTTCATTTGCGCTCAAAAATAGGGGCTCACTCATAAGCCTTGTCAGACATGAATCAGGAAAAAAACAAAAGGAATTTGAAGTATTAGACGTTGTGGATAAAAAATGGAAAATAAAGGTGAGAAACAAAATGAGGGGAACCGTAATAGCCGAGAGTAAAACAGAGAAATATAAAATAAAAGATTTATTTTGATCCTTGTTTCCACTAGCAGGTATTCAGAAAGATGATTTATTTTTCTATATCGCTCTCGACTACTGTGGTTTTTTCTAGTTTTGTTTTTCACCTTTATTTTTCTCCCTTAGTTTTCATTTATATTTCGAATAGCTGTTGTTTTTCCTCATTCAAGTCTTGAGAATGGACGTCTATTTTTAAACTCTTAAATCGTGCAGACTTATCTTCATATTTTTTAAAGCCTATCATTTTTTTTAATCTAGTATATCTAACTGTTCCAGTTTCTTGGGATTATTGACTTAATCTTTTTGATATGTTATTGATGAAAATCACGATTTTATCATATTAGATAGCGTTATTAAAAAAAGCACGATATACTCGTTTGTATATTGTTATTATTGGTATGCATTAGGTACTCATAAGTGTATAACGGTAGCTGGTCTACTCTTTTAACCATAAAAACTGGCAATGAGTAAGTGAAAATCAGATCATTAGAACACAAGCTATTGAGGGTGGTATTCCCCCTCCCTATACTCTGTACAATACGAAGTATTATACAGAGACAAGTATAGCCAAAGTATAGTCAAGACACAAGTATAGCCATTGAGATTTGTGTTAAGATAAATGGAGAAAAGACCTTTCTGTCTCTGGCTGATTGTAGTTCCCTGAGGTGCAAGTAGTTGTTACTGCGGAATGTCCATTCTTTGGTAGTAAAGTACTGAAGGTATCCAGCAGCCCTCTCCATCCTACGCACCATACTCACGTACCTGCAAACAGAACTCAATAATGAACGGAAATCATTAGAATGCTCTTCACTAACACCAATGACTATGGTGTTGAGAATTATCGTCTGCTAAATTATTAACTTTGATCTAGTTCATAAAATTATGTTGCTGAGGTAAAAGTTTTTTTCTTCTTCCTGAAATTGTTTGTTCTTTTTTGTGGAGAAGAAACAAAACGGCCTTGTGTTTTTATTTATTTATTATTGAGCATTAATTGTATTTATATTTTTATAAATAGAACTGCAAAATAAATCATTTTTTGTGTTGTAAATGAAATACTCAAGAACATTAACTGATTCTAATACGAAGTGCAAAAGGGAATAGGATTAGATCGTTTAAATTTAAACTGTGTTGAAAAAAATCATTAAAAAAAATAATAGCTGCAACAATGTTCAGTTATGTACAACAATGTTCAGTTATTTTAAAGGATTAAGTTTAATATCAAACGATCATTTTCATCAAATCGGAAAATGTTAATGATGTCCTTTATCTAATGATGTTATCTTACATTTTTCTGCAGTTTTCATTGTGTCACTGAGAATATTATCAAATATTACTCTGTGCTGCTTTTAAAAATGAGATTTAAAGAAAAGTTTAATTGGTAGTTTCGAAAGAATGAAAAATGCGTTTTTAATTTGTACAAAAAAAAAGAACTTTGATTCCTGCAAAGAGTTAACTAAAACTAGCTGATTAACAAAAACGAAGCAGACAAGAGCTATAAAAATATAAATTCAATTTTAAAATATAAATTTTTTGGGTGCCTATATTATATTTACTGTTAGTTTGAAAAATGGTTCGAAAAAAAAGCAAAGATAATTCAAAAACATTTAATGGTGATATTGTTAATTAATAGTGTGCTACACGCACATAAATTAACTTTTCTTAGAATAATTTCAACGTGACATTTTGTTTATGATTTAGATTTGTTGTTATTTTCTATTGAGTTAAGCATGATAGAATATAATATAATTTTATAAATGCATATCCTTTTGGTTATATGAACACATTGTTATAGAATTTATTTTTTTCTTAAATTGTGCTTTTTTTCCCCATTGTCACTTTCCATCGAAGCAACCAAAATATTAAATAAAATATGAATTGGAATTTAAATATGATAATTATTGGTTTAAAAAAAAAATTCATCCGAGGAACATCTTTTTTTTGCAACCAGTGATACAGTCGGACTTTTATTTAATGAACTTCCATTTTTCGAATTATTATTATTATTATTTTTCTGCGATTTTTTTTTTTCAAGGAACGAAGAACATTTTTGAATTTTCATCGTAATATAAGTTCCAAATAGCGCAGTGAATTTTCTATTGATCGAACTTTTCTTTGAGATCCACTTTCCCTACTTCCCCAAAATATTTCAGAACATTTCAAACTTGTTAACGTATTTTATGGTGTATTTAACGCATTGAAATGACTTTCAATTTATTTTCGAAGTCACTTCACTTTCAGAGAAAGCAGTAAAATCCCTTTCCCCTTTTTTGTTTGCATTTCAAACGATAAAATCAAACAAAATGAATCAATAGCAATGAAACGTAAGAACGCATGTGCTAATGTATGTTTAAAATTACTTCTATATTAAATGCAGCTCTAATTTTAATATATATATATATTTAGCATTTTTTTTTAATTATTATTTGAAAATGTATGTTGCGTGATAGCATAACACTGGATAATGTTTTGCTCTATTCTTGCCTTGCATACAGATTTCTTTTAGGGTGGTTAGGATTTATATAATAAATAGAGATATTTGTTTACAAGATAGAGGTGTATCAGTTGCTATTTTAATAATGTCTAGTGTTCATGAATTTAAAACCTGTTTTGTGTTGTTTAAGTGAACTCAAAAGGTGATCAAAAAGTGATTTTTATTTAACTAATTTTCCATATAACGAACTTATAGTCCGTGGCCATATTAGACGCACTCTAAGATTCTATCTAAAATTATAATTATACTCTATACAGCTGTATTGTTTTTACTCGGATGAAACAGGTTTGTTTACGCTCCTGTATTAATGGGTTGACATGCAATACGTTAAAAATAAATACAAATGGGAAGTGTATAAAAAATCTGCTGAATTACATTCATATTTAAGTATTGCCTATAAACTCGTGCAAAACATGTCATTATTGAGACACTACAGTGCGTCTCATCATTGGATCTGATTATTATAATATACTAATATAATGCTTGATATAATAAATAGTCTATATTTATCTATTATATAGTCTAATGTATCCAATCGTCGAATATATATTATGTATCGTCTCATTTAACCCATCATGGATACAGGAACGTAATCAAGTGCAAACAGTCACGTGTAAACAATAAAGCTGTATATAGTTATCACCTGAGTAATTAAGATGTTGCATAGAATCTTAGAGTGAAGTCTCATCATTTGGACAGGAACAGTATTATCGGGATTTGGCAACTTCTGTTAAATAGAGGTCCGACTGCATTAATATATAATGAATTTTAATTCGAAATTTCTATGATTATAATTGGAAAAAAGAAGATTGATTTGAGACTGACTCTGTTTTGAGACCTATGATGGATGAGAGTGCATCGATGACGTGAGCCGGCAGACTGTGTTCCAGTTTGATGGAGAGCTTGTTGAGGAATGGACTGGACTTGAAACTTCCTCCCGGATACCTCAGGATCTTGAGACTCGGGTGCTTGATGATGAGAGGATAGGCTGTCCTCTCGATGTCCGACCACGTCACCCTGTTCAGGTTACCCGATGTGCAGTTAAACACCTTCACGGAATTGGGCCTGCAACAAACACAATATATCCATCCTTCTTTTTATAAATTGTACACTTTTTTTTTTAAAAAATAAAAATATTCTATTGTATAAAGTGATACAATAGAATATATTTATTTTAAAAATAGTGATTGATTATCATGTTAACACCCATCGTTTGAACAGTTTATCCCCCCCCCCCAAAAAAAAACAACTTGAAAAGGCAACCGAAATCTATTTTTCTACGTTTCAATGAAAATGTTAAGTACTTGGACATTGAAAGACGTTTTAATAACTGTTTGACAAAATAATTCATACCTTTTGAATTTTTTATTATTTGTTATAACTTTACATTAAATTTACATTCATTTAATTATTTTAATTAACTTCCATGGTTTTGGATTAGTAAGCATCTCAAATGTTTTTTTTCTTTTAAATTATGTATAGTATAAAAATGATTAATTACTATATTTTTAAAAAAAATATATATTATAGTAGCAGTTGACGAAAAAAAATGTCGATTTTCTGATCACCGTATACATTATAAAAAGACGCGTAAGTGCGAACTCGTACATTCGGACCCATCATAGATTTGTGGGGACATTTCTTCTATCAAAAGGTACTGCAAGATGGAATCGAGTTAGCATGTCTTATATACTAGTGAATGAATGTTTCATAATTGTAGCGGAAGTTACGCCACAGTACACCCCTCTCCAAAATTTCATCAGTGATAGATTTCGAAGATACCACTCATAGTTGTCGTATTTGCGAAAGGCCGGGTGAGCTGTGTTAAGTTCACAGGATTTTGAGACGCTAATGGTGAGAGCTGTATTAAGTTCACCGTGTTTTGATCGCTGGTAGTGAGAGCTGTATTAAGTTCAAGGTTGTGTATTGGGTCTCTCCTGTGCTGCTATAGAAGTTGAGTGTGTGCAGGATTCCGTTGTGCGTCAATGAGACTGAGAAGCGAGAGGAATCACACATAGTGAGTCAACTTTTTCAGTCTGAACCATCTATCGGAGTAGGCGTAATCATATCACGTCACCCATGTGGGGGGGAGCTATGTCAACCTTCATCTATCAAGTCCAGATTAGTATATCTTATATACTAGTGAATGGGTTGGGCCGGGATAGCCAGGATGGTAGGGCACTGGGCCCGTGTCCAATAGATCGTGGGTTCGATCCCCGCCGATAGAAGACTCTCCGTGTCGTAAATGGTGACTGATCTTCGTTCAATCTGTCGAGTCACAAAGTCCTCCGTGTTCCCATAACAAATCACACCTCGGGGTTCCTTGTCTTCTGGATTGGATTCAAGATGACAAGGATTTGAACATGAGCAGTCGTGAACCCCCATAAAATAGGGTTCGGCTGTTCGACGACGGATATAAGATGAATTTGATAATTGTAGTTATTACGGCACTTATTCACTAATTGTGTTTGTTGCTTTTGAATAGAATAAGAGAAAGACTTACTTGTGTGTTCCAATGTGCCATGCAGCTGTGAGAAGGACATTGGCTAGCAAATCTACAGGAATCCAATCCACTACCGTCCCTTCGTACACCAGCATTGTGCGAAGTAGACCTCTGCCCGTCTGAAAATGTTTCACTTTCAACGTAATGCTGTTATCGAATGTTTTTCTTAAAAATAAACATAGAATAAATGTTTTTTTTTTATTTATATAGTCTGTCTAAGCTAAGAACTCCTCCCGCCACAAAGTCTGAGGCCGTCTGGTGTCATGGAAACAAGAATGGCGCATTTTAGGGAGGGTCACTTCACTCTAGGACAAACACAATAGACCGAAGATATTCCCTCGCCGACCCCACCCCTACTTGAAATAGTCATACCTCTTTACCCTGGTCACCGCCACTCTGGAGAAGCTCTTATTTTAGACAAACTAAATTTTCCTCCAAGGTGCTCCCTCCCCCTCAAAGTGATGGTATATCAGGGTCTAATATGCAAATGCTTTTTTTTAAAAATTTGATTGAAATAGAAGGTCATCAGAGGATAACATATTAAGATAAAAAATCTTTTTAAGCACGAGTCATGGATTCTGTCAATGTCGTGTCATAGGTCTACAAGGACTAGGCTGGGCGTTTAAACATGAGGATAAAAAAAAAATCTCTCATTCATAACAAAAAACTGAAATAAATAGAGATGGGATGAAATAAACTCTTCATAAAAACTGTGCTACCATTTTACCTTTAGTTTTGTTTATGAGTTGAAAATTAGAACTTATTTAATGAATGCTTGGTGATTTATGAAGCTCAATGAGAGAACAATGTGTCTACAGACAGTTTTTTAAACTACTGCAATCGGATGAATTGACAGAAAGAATGACGAAAAAGGTAAATGTATGCGTAGGACAAATCCCTATTAAATCTGCTCTCGGACAAATGCGCATGGGCAGTGGTCGGAAGTAGCGCGCTGTAGTCGTTACTTTTTTTTCGTACTTTGTAGTATAGTGCGACATTTTTTAAAAGAAGTAGTGTAGCGTGTAGTGCGATACACTACTTTTAAAGTTTAGTCACGAAATCAAGTTCAAAAGCTAAAAAAATATTCGTCTGATGCTCAAGAGCAGCAATTTTTTTCCATTTTGGTTGGCAGCAGTTATTTCTTTCATGTTCTTTTCGTTCATTACAATTGGAAATCTTGTGAACAAAGGAATCATTGGAAATCGAACCATTGAAATCTATAACGTGAAGATCCGATCATCATTCAAGATGTTCCGTTTTTTATTTTGCGCAGTGTACTTTATTTCTTGAAGGATATTAAAAAGCATTCATCACTTAAATATTTGATAATGTCTTACATTAAATATTCACTGTCAAGAAGAGTTTGAAGTTTAAAAGAACATATTCGTAAAAAGTCTAGACTTCTTAGAAAAGAATACCCTAATTAATAAAAGGCTAGACTAAAACTAGAGAGTGAGTAAGACCGTTGTTTCAGTGCTGCAGGCGATGGTACTACTAAGTTATACCAAAACACAGAAAGCTTCTTTTTCTTATCCGGCGAAAAAAAAATAGAGCGAAAAAGTTAGAATTTCAACATTTTAAACTTGAATGTGAATGTAAAGCTCGTACATGCAGGGCATTAAATTATAGGAAGAACTCATTCGGTGATTTAGAATGTCAACTGGATAGAAATTTAATAATTACCATAATGATGAAAGCTGAAGGTCCATTCACTCCATCCACCCATCCCTGTATAGAATAGAAAGAAAAAACAATCACTACTTTATTTATTCATCAAAAGAAATTCCATTCAAAGTTGGAGAGAGAAAAATCGAGCCACGAAGTTTGAAATGCTTTCAGAAATATTACAATGCAAACAAATTGTTATAGGATTAACATTTGATATTATTTATCAGCAATTGAATCGTTAAAGATTTACAGACTGTTATGACTTAATAGAGCTTCTAAAGTGGACGACCTCTGGAAACCTTTACTGTCACAAAATGGAAAGAATAATGACATATTTTATGAGTTGACCACTCGTTGAAGTGGACGACCATCAGCTTATATAAGAGCAAGAAGGGGCTCCATTTTTCTGTCAAAAGTGTATCTGTTCAAATATGCGGATGGAAGTGAATCAAAGGTGATACTTACAGGCATGGGTTCTTTATAAGCAGCGGTCACAATGGAAGGACGGACGATGGCCACAGGAACATCCCCTCTGTCCGAAACGAGGAGATTCTCCGCCATTGCTTTGCTGTAATGGTAAGTTGTGGGTCTTCCGTCCATCAATTTAGGCAAGAAACTTTCGAGTAGGGACTCATCCATCCACCTGAAAATTTTAATTCTCTCTTCACTCTCTCTCTCTCTCACACACACTGATGAAATTAAGCGAATAAAAACTGTTTTGCAGTCATATTATGAGACTTCACTCTTTTAAGATTCTATGTAAAATCTTAGGTGATACTCTATACAGCGTTTATTGTTTTTATCTGACTGTTTTCACTCGTTTACGTTCGTGTATCAATGGTTTAACATTGCAATACAATACATTAAAAAAATAATATATCAATGCAAATGGGAAGTGTGTCAAAAAATCACCAGAATTAAAACCCATTACACGCGTGTTTAAATATAAAAGTATTGTGGATGAACTCGTGCAATTATTAAAAACACTACAGTGCGTCTAATCATTTGATCTAATTATTATAATATAATACCTGATACAATATATGTTCTATATTTATATAATGTATCATCTAGTTTATATAATCGTCGAATTTATATAGTATATCCCCTAATTTAACCCATGGATGCACGAACATAAACAAAGTCTCAGTTGCGTCAAAACAATGAAGCTGTATTATACTAGTATCACCTGAGAGTCATTAAGATTTCACATCGAATCTTAGAGTGGGTCTCCTAATTTTTCCAGGGATTGATGGCAGTTCTATCTGCCACCAATGAATCAGTTTTTCCATCCAAAAAACTTTTCTGACCATCAGCACTTCTGATGAATATATAGCATGTCGTAGAATAATATAAATAAGGCTCTTTTTAAAACGGCATTTTACAATGGCTGGTTGGAATATTGTTCATTTTCTAATCTACCACGATATTTTTAGGCTTATTGCTGACATGCTTTCAAGCTACATATAGGAAACGCAAGAACTACTGAATCTAATTGATTTTTATTAAGACAGTTTTTCAATACACCTTAAATAAGGATGCTCGCAACAATATATGATAGATTTCTTAATCTGTTCATTTCCTCTACATCTTTTTTCTTCTCTTTTGCAATAAGCCTAAAAATTCTGGTTAGCAAATACTAAATATTTTTCTAATTAGTTCCAATGAATCTAATTTTTAAATTGAGAAGCGACTGTTATGCTAAAAGTGAAATTATTACTTTGGCACACATAAACATGAGATCTTTGAGAGGTAAAATAATAAAATCAAATCCAGTTAAATATTCTTTCTTGTGGAATATAATGAATATTTCCTTGCTTCGCTGGACTTGTCTAAAGATTCAGAGGATAAGTAGTGGTTGGAAACCAGTTTAAAAGTTAGTTTCACGTTTTAACAACTCTTCCTCTGCAAATATTTTATTTCCAGATCGGATTTGTACTTAACTTGAAAGATAAAAATTTTACTCAATTCTTTCAGAAAATCTGAAGACATATTTTTGTGAAAATACTTTTGTTTTTTTAAAAAGAGAATAGGTGTGAGGAAAAAAAAGCACCCCTTATAAATACTTACTCAGCTATATCGATCACTTTCTGAGGTGATACCTTCTCCTTATAAACGATTTCATCGACTTCCTTTCTGTTGCAGTAACTGTAGGCTGTGGATACGTGAATCAGGGCCTGAAGAGGAATTTATTCAATAACACACACTTTTACATTAGTTATTAATGACCTCATTTTAAGAGACTAAATACGAAATTTGAACGAAATCGGTCAAACGATTGACGAAAAAAACATTTTTAAAATTTGATAGCTCAGAAACTAGATTCAAAATTCGGATTTATTTACTAATTTTTTTTTTTTAAATTACATGCAGTCTCTGGCCGTATTATTAGACGCACTCTAAGATTTCACGAGACTGAAACCAGTTTGCACTTGTTTACCTTCGTGTATCAATTAGTTAACATTGTAATGCAATATGCTGAAAAATAATATATTAATGCAAATAGGGAGAATATAAGAAATCTCCTCAATAAAAAAACCCATTACATGTATGTTTAAATATAAAAGTATTGCCTATAGCAGGGGTGGCCAAGCTCCTTGATAGTCGAGCTATTTTTCAAAATTTGAAATTTTTCGCGAGCCGCAATTAAATACGCATTTAAAAGGTATGCAAAAAAGGCATTAAATTCTTTTTACAGAAATAAATATTTATTGAAAACATATAAGTAAAAGTACAAAATATGTGTATTGAATTTAAATATTAAACACATTTATTTTACTTCTCTTGATAATTCTTTAAAATTTGGTGAATAATGGGTGACAGCACTTCTCAGTAATCCCTTGAGATGTTGGTTAGTTAATACTGATCGGTGTTTGGGTTTCGCGAATTTTAAAGGGAAATAAAATGATTCAGATAAAAACGTTGTTCCTAATATTGAAATAATTCGACAAGCAGCCGTTTTTTAATTCAGGATATACTTCGATTCCGGTAGTAATATCCAAAATTCAGTATACTCGACGTCGATTTATATTTTGATATTCAGAAATGAAATTTGCTACAACGTTGCATTAGTCTTTCATATTTGTTGTCAGCAATTTAAAAGACCTTTTGAAACACATACGGAACGATAATAATTTTTTAAAATATAATAGCACGAAAACGAAAAGGTACGTTTATCGAGAGCCACAAATAATCCTTCGAAGAGCCGCATGTGGCTCGCGAACCACAGGTTGCCCCCCCCCCGGCCTATAAACTCGTGCAAATCATGTCATTATTAAAACACTACAGTGCGTCTCATGATTTGACCTGATTATTATAATATACTAATATAACGCTTGATATAATAAATATTCTATATTTATATAATATATCGTGTAATGTATCCTATCGTCAAATTCATATTATATATCGTCTCATTTAACCGATTGATACGCTAACGTAAACAAGTGCAAACCGGTTTCAGCCGCGTGAAAACAATAAAACTGTATAGAGTATCACCTGATCATAAAGATTTTACACAGAATCTTAGAGTGCGTCTCATAATATGGCCAGGGACTGTACTTTAAAATGGTCTAAACATTTTAATGCCTTATAACACAACATTTTTTGGACCATTTTAAAATAATCAAAGAGTGTGTAAATAATAATAGTTTTTACACGAAGTTATCTATGAATAAACATATTTAATAATTATATTTCAATTAGCTGTTGTCTCGGGAATATAGCGCAGAAAGTGAAATAAACCACTCCAGATTCCTCCCAATGATTTGGATGTCAAAGAAAAGAATTTAAGCGCTGATTTCGAGACATCATTAACTCTATTAAGTCATATTTAAGGTCTATTACAATTGAGTGCCGATGCTTGAAAATCCGATCATTAGAGCAAAAGTTATTCAGGATGTTCACTTTTTTATTTTATTTTGCATGAAGTACACCTCATTCTAATAAATAATCATCGGAAGTGATGATTTATTCAAGCATTGATAGATTAAAAAAATATATATATGTATTCCACTCATATGTTTCGACACGGACAAGATTTTAAAACAAATTCTTTTTTTAGTTTCAATTTTTATTATTAATATTTGACGAAATGAAGATATGCTTAAAGATTATTTATGTTGTCGATTAAATGAAGAGAAGAATGATGGGTCACATAATCTATAGTACTCAAGGGCGGCGATTCTGACTACCCGTCAAAATTCTTGTTGGTTCCATCAATTTATTTTGGTTTCAGTGCGATTCAACATTTTCTTCTATTATGCGTTCATGGTTTTTGATATGCCAACTAACTTACCATCATTCCCCTGATGGCAAATGCTACCTGAATACTGTGATGGTTACCCATCAAGAGAAGTTTGATTCTCATGGACACCCACAATCCTTGATGGTTCCAACTATAGATTTCCCTTGAGGGTTTAAACGGGAATTCTTATTGGTTCTCAAGAAAATACCGTAAAATAATTTGGTTTTTTTTTCTTTCAATGTTGGCCCATCACACATCAATCCAAATTCCTACATTCGAAATTTCTGACGGTTCACCATGAACAAACCATCAAAACAAGTTGCTATTCTAACGCTGAACCATCCTAAATCAGTCCGAATTCTGGGTGATGGTGACTTATGTTGGTTACCGTCAAAAAGTATAATGGTTCTTGATGGAATTATGAATTCAAGATTTTGTGGGCCCATTCATGGAAAAAACCATCCGAACTTGACCGAATGTGGAACTGTAATTATCTAATTAATTGAAAAGTACTTACTGCGATTTGAGTCATCTTGTGACAAAGTTGCAAAACCCTCTCTGTCCCCACCACGTTCACTTCAATAGATTTCCTACATGAAAAAAAAAAGTTCTCAATTACTGAACACTAGGGATTCCGTGGTTGAGTCAAAGGGGTTGGAAGAGTTTTTTTAAAAAAAGATCACAATGACATCGAAATAATAAGCCACTATTTATGAGATATTTCGGATATTTTTAATTATGGAAGAAAAATAACAACATTTTAAGAACACGCATTTATTCGAATGACAATATATTGAAAAATTATGAAAATAATACGCTTTTAAAAAAATGTATTAATATTTCCCACCGAACTTTTTAGCTGATTTTTTTTTAAACTTTTCGTGTCAAATGTCGTTTTAACGAAAACAATAATTCAGCTTTATTTTCAATTTTTGCATTTAACCAAAACCATCTGGAAAATATATTCTTTCAAATCCGCCAATTCGACTGTGTCACGTGAAATCTTATTTTAAAACTAAAAAGTATAAACCAATTTTTTATTCTTTACGGGAATTATTTTGATAATGAATAGTCTTGATAAAATGAGTTCGGTAAATATGCTCACAACTGCTTTTTATGTATGAAGTTCCGCGTTGTTTTTGGAGCTGAAACAAATTGGAAGCTCATTTAACGTTCGAGATCGAAACATAACCATGGTGCGTAGCTTTTTTAAGAAGTGCTTATTTCCGAATTTCGTTTTTTTTATCATTGGGCGTTTTCAAAAAGTGTTTCATTTTCCCTTTTCGAAAATGAGATTTTTCTTTACCCTGTCGATTTCCGCCACGTATTATGCAAAAGCGTGCTTTTCACATTGTTCTATTCAACTTCTTCACAATTCATTCAACCACTACCTATTTCAGCTTGCCGTCGGTTCATAGCGTGTGAAAGCGTCAATCATTTCACAGGTTTGATGAGATATTTGCGAGTCCGCATGTCAGCTGGGTTCGATGAGATCATGTGCAACTCTGCTGCATTTCGAAAGATATTCTCAATTTCAAACTTCATTTTCCACCCTCTGATATCGAACTGAAAAATGTCTCGATCATTTTTTAATGGCTAATATAATCAAGAAAAAGAGTTCTTTATCAGACACTAGTTACTTTATCATGATCATGTAAAGTCTGAAAATTATTTTGCATTTTGTTAATGTATATAGTGCTTAAAAATATTTTTTCAGTGCTTAAAAAGTACTTGGAAGGTGCTTATTTTTGGTTGAAAGATTTGGCTATATGCACCCTGATTATCATTCGAAAGAATTTATGTCTAATATGAATTTCAGAAGTATAACGCGCAGAATAGGTTTTTGTTGATAAGTTTATGCACTATGTGGTCAGAAGTATCCGAACAACCGGTTGTTATGGTGGTGGAAATATAATGGTTGTTTCTCGTGGTTTGGCTAGCGTCCTTCCTGTGGTTGGAACTCTGAGATGTATGTGGTGCAATATTTCGGGGGGCCTTCTCTTCCACACATTGAGGCTTGCACAGACGTTCGAAAACTGCCTTCTAAGAGCCTCCGATCTCATAGAATACCTTTTGGGAAGAATGAGAGCGCAGATTAGGTAGCCAACCAAATCCTCACTGCAAGCACTCACTTCAGCTGTGTTTAACCCCTTAACGATCGGTTAATTTTCAAGAAAACGGTCGTAAAAGTGCTTATTTTTTATTAGTGCTATTGATTTGTGCTGATATCTAGTTTAAAATAAACTATCTACAATTACCTAAAAAATATCCTGGTACTGCCATCTGGTGTGTATTAATGAGAAATAAGATGTTTTTCGGGCAAAAGAAATGAATTTGTTTTATTCTTATTGGCGCGTTACTACTGAGCATTCCAGCCCGGAAACATCACAGGAGCGAGAAATAGAGGGAGAAACCTAACCCCGTCATTTTCACGGGAGTGAGAAGGAAGATGGTGGAAAATCTTCTCTGAAGTGTGCAGTCTGTCATTGATGCTAAAGAGGGGTCAATATCACACTAATATGTGCCTCTAAGTCCGTACCACTGAGGGATACTTTTAGTTAGATAGTGTACTTTTGCAGTNGAAACTAGTTATTTTATCATGATCATGTAAAGTGTCTGAAAATTATTTTGCATTTTGTTAATGTATATAGTGCTTAAAAATATTTTTTCTGTGCTTAAAAAGTACTTAAAAGGTGCTTATTTTTGGTTGAAAGATTTGGCTATGCACCCTGATTATCATTCGAAAGAATTTATGTCTCCTAATACGAATTTCAGAAGTATAATGTGCAGAATAGGTTTTTGTTGATGAGTTTATGCACTATGTGGTCAGAAGTATCCGAACAACCGGTTGTTATGGTGGTGGAAATATAATGGTTGTTTCTCGTGGTTTGGCTAGCGTCCTTCCTGTGGTTGGAACTCTGAGATGTATGTGGTGCAATATTTCGGGGGCCCATTTCTTCCACACATTGAGGCTTGCACAGACGTTCAAAAACTGCCCTCTAAGAGCCTCCGATCTCATAGAATACCTTTTGGGAAGAATGAGAGCCCAGATTAGGTAGCGAACCAAATCCTCACTGCAAGCACTCACTTCAGCTGTGTTTAACCCCTTAAAGATCGGTTAATTTTCAAGAAAACGGTCGTAAAAGTGCTTATTTTTTATTAGTGCTATTTGATTTGTGCTGATATCTAGTTTAAAATAAAATAACTATCTACAATTACCTAAAAATAGCCTGGTACTGCCATCTGGTGTATATTAATGAGAAATAAAATGTTTTCCGGGCAAAAGAAATGAATTTGTTTTATTCTTATTGGCGCGTTACTACTGAGCATTCCAGCCCGGAAATATCACGGGAGCGAGAAATAGAGGGAGAAACCTTACCCCGTCATTTTCACGGGAGCGAGAAGGAAGATGGTGGAAAGTCTTCCCTGAAGTGTGCAGTCTGTCATTGATGCAAAAGAAGGGTCCATATCACATTAATATGTGCCTCTAAGACCATACCTATGAGGGATACTTTTAGTTAGATAGTGTACTTTTGCAGTGACCTTAGAGGTCAGCATTTTTCGAAATACAATGATGCATTATACATTTGCTTTTTTTTAGATTGTTGACGAATATCCTTTGTTTTTCACTCATTTACATTAGACAGCCTTCAAGTGTTACGTAAGAGCACGTTTTTAACCATTTCAAACTCAATCTACTTTCTCTTTATCCCCCAAAATAAGCAAATTACAAACCCCATCCCGCGCTCACGTGAGCTCGCTCACTCCTTTAATTTTTATGATCGTAACTGAGCTTTAGGATTAATTTTATCGATGATTAAATTTTTTTTTTGAATAAAAAATTGTGTTTTAATTCATCGTAAAAAAATTTGAGCGACGTATATTTTAGGAATTTTTTTATGTTTTCTTCTCTAGCTAAAAGTTTTAACCTCTAGAAAAAAAAAAATTCAGAGGATTTCTCTTTACCCCAAGCTTCCAAATCGATTTTTTTTATCAATTTCATACATCATTTGTTACATTCAAAATTTTTTTATTAATTTTAGTATCTTACGTGGTTAAACTTTCCCCTCTTGTCAGTAAAAATAACACATGTGTTTAAGTAGTATTTGAAGTGGTCCGCTAAAGCTATTTTTCCAACTCCTCTTAATCAGTTGAAACAATAATAAAAAGTAATAATCAGAGAGATTTTTCTTTCCTCTCAATTTAGTTGTTTCATATTTTAAAGAAAAATCCATAGAAGTTATCATGTATTGTCTAAGCTAAGAACTCCTCCCGCCACAAAGTCTGAGACCGTCAGATGCCATGGAAATAAGAATGGTGCATTTTAGGGAGGGTAGCTTCACTCTAGGATTAACGCAATCGAACGAGATTCCCTTTCTCCCGGCCACTCCAAAACACGCATCCCTACTTGAAATAGTCATACCTCGTTACCATAGTCACAGCGACAGATTCAGACGAAAGTCTGGAGGAGTTCTTATTTTAGACAAACTATATCGATGTTTGTTTTCCATTCCTTCAGAGTGTTCATTTCAACAAACGATGAAACTAAGCTTAATAAACTATTTTTTTTATGAAAGGCATAGGAGTTGTTTGTCTATACCAAGCTGGACAAATTCTTCTTTTATTTATTTCTAATTTATCCCAGACAAAAAAAAGATATTTTTTTATTGTTGTTACTTTTTGTTTTACAATTGGCTTTGGATTTATGGTTGTAAATAGGATTCGAAAGTACTGAAAAATATTTTTATAAATACTTTTACCTATAGTTTGTCTAAAGTAAGAACTCCCCTAGTCATTCGACCCGTGGCGGTGAGTCGGCGAAAGAAAAGAAATCTTTTTCTTCGGTCTATTATGTTAGCCCTAGAGTGAAGAGAAGCTACCTTTACTGAAATGAGCTATTCTTGTTTCCATAGCATCAGACGGCCTCAGACTTTGTGGAGAGGGGAGTTCTTACAGTAGACAAACTATGTGCTATACCCTTTATAAACAAGAGAACCATCTGAAGGTGACGCTCCTTAACACACTTTTCGTTACCATAGTCTTGGCAAATCTTACTTTTTTCCCCACACCAGTACATCTAAATTTTTGATGAAACGTACTGCCGTGAGAGCTAAAAAAATAACAATTTGCTGAAACTATCGTAACGAAGGAGGGGGAAAAGGTGTAGGAGAGGGAGTTCGAGTGAATGAAAGAATGACCTGAGCGGCTCATCAAATCGAACTGTTGCAGCCGAGTGGAAGACGACAGATACATTCTTTAGGAGCATGCTGGTGTCCGACTGGCTTATTCCCAGATCTGGAGCACATATGTCACCACTGATGGGAACAATCTTTGTCAGAATGGACGGATTTTCATGTTTTATCTTGCAAAATACCTGCAATTAAAAACCAGACATTAAAATATTGTATTTATTATTTACGAATGTGTATGCAGACTCTTAAAATTGATAATGAACACAGTCTCATTTAAGCATTTTTAGTTTTAAAATCTTGATCATCAGTTTTTCACTTATAAAGTTTTTCGCGATCACTCTGCCTAAGTTAAAAATCCAAATTCCTTTTTCTTTCCTTTCAAACAAAGTCTCTCATTATTTTTCTTAAAAACATTTTTTTTTATCTTTGGCAAAACAATTGGAAAAAAGCTCAGCACCCTCCCACCCCCCAATTTTTTCTTCTTTGAAACGACGACATCTGAGAATCTATTATATATATAAACGAAATTCGGTTCCAGATTTAAAGAACGATCAACGGAAAAATATTTTAATTAAATGATTTATTATGTTTTTTCCCCTTTTTTTACTGTAAGTAAGTATAATTTAATTCATAAAGCAACCCTTTCAGTTTCAATATGTTTTTATTTATTTTTCCTTATTTAATGACGTTATGGAACATTTGCTGTTGTAATTCAACAAAGCAATGACAACATTTCCCTCCCAGCGACTTAATAAGTTTCCTTTTGATTTTTTTTCTCATTCATTATCTTTTGCTTTTAAATGTGGACTCTTCATTTTATTCTTTTAAGATTCTTTCATTTTATTCTTATATTTTTAACTATCAATAATTTAAAACTTTTTTTTTATCCTTTTTTATTTTTTTAATAAATACAAGGAACTAATGCAAAACATAAAACATAAGTTCTAAGTTGAAATTTCAATTTTTTTTTTTTTATGTGTAAAAAATATTTCTTTTACAATCAGTTTACTATCCCGAATGACCAGCTTCCAATCACTGCAGATTATTTTTTGTTTTGCTTCCGGCAGAATAAAAACGTGATAAAACAAAACGTATTGACGAATTCTACTATGCCCGAGTTTACTCGGAATAATAAATATTTGCAATCTATACATACCCGAGTTAACTCGGGATAGTAAGGGAAGTGGTTAATATGTTTTATTCTTTTGCTTCCTTAAATGTTAATATTTCGTTTCTTTCCTTTTTTAGATATTTTTAAATTTGCAGAGATAGCTATTTGCACTTGTACCTATTACAAAATTATAGCGCATTACAGGCGAGTGCTGAATCACAATGCTTTGAGTTCAAAATGCCGGAGGAACAGATTTAGAACAATGCCGCAGTTGTTGATTCAATAAATATCTTTGATTTTGAGACATTTTTTTAATATGATTCTGACAACGATCGCTTTCACCATTCTCTGCGTTGTTATGAGAAATAACTGTTGTTAGGCAACTCAAGACCTTTATAAAATGTATCTCGAGAAAAAAAGAACTTTTTGAAAATTAATTTTTATTGTATCCTCCTGAAGAAAAATGAGTCTTTAAACATTTCATGGAAGGATTTGAGGGGAATTAATCAACGACTATGTCAACCTTCATATATCAAAAGGTACCTCCAGATGGAATCAAGTTAACATGTCTTATATATACCAGTGATTTGTTATTTGATATTTATAGTGGTAGTTACGCCACAGATTCAATACTTACAAAATGTTCATTCTGTATCCACATTCATTTTTGAGGAAACTATGCTTACAGAATTGGTTTCAATTTAAAAAGGATTCATTTCATAATATTCCGAATAATAGAAGATTACCTGACATGTGAGTAACTCATCCAGCCTTTGTCTTGGACTTTGTCCATCTTTTGACCTCAGAAGGACGTACACGTTTCGGATTCGGGGACAAGATCTGAGCAACTTTTCCAGCAGCACCTGCGTCACAATGATTGCAATTGAAATATACATATATAAACTTCTTATTTTATTCTTAAATTCTTGTTTTGAGAATGGAAATGATGGAACTATTCTTGTGTTCCAATATGTTACGGAACCTCAAATGATTCTTTATGCGCAGCTTCATATTAAAATAAATAAAATAATAATAATTACTAGCGCCAACAACAGACTTTACTTTAAAAATACTTAAAAGGAAGAAATATTTAGTTAGTTTTTATGTACGGCAGTTAAATTTGAAGGCAGTCATGGAGCTTTTGGTGTTGACACAGATTAACTTGAATGCCCACAGATGGCGCTTGAACTGAACGAACATTAATGTTTTTTTCTTTTCTGTTTTAGTTTGATTTCTACAGCTTCGATGAAAGAAGATCGTTTTTTATGTTAAGTCCGTCCTCTCATTAAAATTGTTTAATTATTAGAATTCGTTTTCTTTTGAACACAAGCGAAGCAGTTTAGCGAGCGAAGTCTGGTAAATAGATAAGATCCAGGTAAGAGAGAAAATTAGAATTATTTTTACTATACCTTTTTCAGGTGTGATGAAGCTGAAAATGAATTAGAATTTTATTTTTACTTAAAAGGCGTGAAGGGGAAAATGATGCAAGATCTTTTTTAATAATTTATTCAATATATTGTTATTAGAAAATATATATTGATTAAAAAAAGTATCCATTTCTTTTTTAATAGTACTTTACTTCAAATAATTTTATAAGGCCAACTGAAATCACTCATGGATTATTGATTAGATCTAAGTATAAATAAAGATTAATGTACCTTTCAGATCCAAAAACTCATCTCTGATTTTAAGATTGCGGATTAACTTTCAAAGAAGTTCTTATTGTTTTAATAATTTTATGATCTTACACAAAAACTGGTATGGAACGTTCTATCAAAATAGTTTGCAGGAAAACTTAATTTAATAATAAGAAATAAAAAAAAATCATGATCCTCATCTTCACATATACTCCTAGACATGAGTACAGTATCGTTAAATCTCTCAAAGACTTGGACTGATCGTTAAGACACGGCTCCCAGCAAATCACCGAAGTTAAGCATCACTGGCTGCGGTCAGTGTGCGGTTAGGTGACCACTTGGATCAGTCTGAGTAGGGACCGAGGGTGTGCGTTAAACTGTTCTACCGTAAAGTGCTCGACTTCGCGTGCAGGTCATTGGGCTACCGAAGCGGGGGTGCCATCCCCTCAAGGGAGGATCAAAATTGTGATGGCTTGTCTTCGGATCATCCTTAGGGATGTTTCCCAGACCGTCGCCAATAGTCCATTGTGCAGCTCTAGTGCGACGCAAATTAACTACTACTACTACTACTCTCAAAGACTTCACATTTCCGAACATTTAGTATGAGAATTATCTGTTCTTTCACACCCAAATGAGGTCAACAAAAAACGAGAAAGGGATTTTAAAGGTTATTTAAATTATCTCAGGTCTTTTTCATGTTCAACTAAAGCAATTCAATCCACTTCAGTTGCATAGAAGTGATTGCATTTTCCACAAACCAGGATTCCACATAGACCCCCCGCTGACAGCAGAGTACTGTGGTCAGATTTGCTAACTGATTGAGGGTTTCGATTGTCCTGATTAATGGCTCGCATTGGTATTCTGGTATATGCAGTCCCTGACCAAATTCTTAGACGCACTCTAAGATTCTATGTATAATTTTAATGATCAGGTGATACTCTATACAGCTTTATTGTTTTGACGAGACCGGTTCGCATTTGCTTACTTTCGGGTACTAGTTGGTTAAATGAGACGATACATAATATAAATTCGACGATAGGATACATGAGACGATATATTATATGAATATAGAGAATATTTATTATATCAAGCATTATATTAGTATATTATAATAANTAAAAAAACGGCTTTTTGTAGCGATTCAGAAAACCGGAAAAATCAGTTATCCGGAATAGCAATGGTCCCGATCGTTCCGGATAATCGGTTCCCTACTGTACAATTATTGGACGCACTTTAGTGTTTTAATAATGACATGTTTTGCACGAGTTTATAGGCGATACTTTTAAAGCTAAACATACATGTATTGGGTTTTTATTCGGGAGATTTTCGTATAGACTTCCTATTTGTATTTATCTTTAACGTATTGCATGACAATGTTACATACTTACAGGACGAACGTTAAGAAGTGCAAACAGTCTCGTAAAGAACACTGAAGCTGTATAGTAGTATCACCTGATCATTGAGATTTTACATAGAATCTTAGAGTGCGTCTCATAATATGGCCAGTAGGGACTGCATATTCCACGTTATTGGTCACACGACACCAGGATTCCACGTCACTGATCAGGTTGAATAAGATGAAAAAAAAAGAAGAAGACCTTTCCGACAAATCCTGTGACTCCAGTGATGAAGACAGATCTTCCCCTGTAGAATTCTGCCACCTGAGAGATGTCATCGTCTTCTTCGTCGATGGGCGAGACATAACCATCGCTCTCTGCATGAATGACAGACATCTCTTCTCTTCTTCAAGACATTCTATGATGTAATGAACAAGACCTGCAACAAATAATTATTATTAGCCTCTGAGTGGATGTTAAAATGAGAATTGTCCTTGTATAACATGGCGATTCACAAAATTATAGAAATTAGTACAAATTTTTCGATTACAAATGATCCTGAGTTAAGTCGGGTTACGTACGGGCTTAGCAGAATGTGTCAATACATTTTGTTTTGTCAGTGTTTCTACTCGGTCGGAAGACATTATCTGCTGTGATTGTTCTGCACACGTGTGATTGTGTATATACGATGGTTGCTGAATTGACATTTCAATAAGAATCCTTCACTGACTTTTGAAAAGTATAATTTTGTGTTGTCCCTTGTGTTAAGAACTATCAGACAAAGACTGTTATTTAACTTATTTCATTTGCCCGAGATAACTCGTGATGGCTGATTTTAAATTAAATATTTTTTACACATAAGAAAAATTTCAACATTAAGTTTTGTTATTGTTCCCCGTATTTATAAATAAAAATCAAAAAATATGCTGATTTTTTGCATATTTTAAAAAAAATAACAGGTAAGGAAAGTGATTAAGACACGACAAACAAATAATCTGAAATCAAGTTCATTTCCATCATTTTTTAAACTTCAGCATTTTCAGTGGTTGCATTTTTTACAACATCGATGCAACAAAATTCTCGGATGTAACGCAGTGCGAATTTCTTTTTGTAGAATTATGTCAAAGACTCTGTATTTGTACCATCGATGCCTGAAAAGCTGCAACATTTTCAGCATTGGAAACCATTGACAGTGCGAAACTACAAAACGAACCTGATTAAAGATTAGACGTTTGCCTTGCAACGAACATTTGTGACTTAAATTACAAATAGAGTATAAGAAAAGACCGGGATAGCCTGGTTGACAGGGCGCTGGACTCGAATTCAGGCAACTGAAGACTCACCACGTAGAAAATGGTGACTGGTGCACGTTGAATCTGTCGGGTTGCAAAGTCCTCTATGTTCCCATTAAAAAAAAAAGCAATACCTCTGGAGGTACTGAATTGGAGATTCATAGTTTTCTGGTTCTTGACAAAACTGTGATCTGTAGACGAATGAATGGATGTAGAAATGGGTCCACCCTATAAGCGGGTGTGTCGTATCTGTGCGGCAGAAGTCGAATTCGTGGCCACAGACGGCACCACTGGAAAACAAGAACAATCACATCCCCTCTGCCTTAAAGGCCGACGACACCAATAACAGTATATATAAAATAAAAAAAAATTTAAAAAAACTTGACACATTTTTCTTTATTTTTGTGCTCCACTTATTGCAATCTGTGTAATTGTTCCAAAACAAATGGGTCCATTCATAAGTGTTTTATGGATAGCTCTTCCAAAAGAGCGATACATAATAAATATACCATCCATCATTTGACAACTTATTTTATTCAAGTTATCTTTCGAAAGCTGTCAATTTTTCGATGGTTCGAGTCCCTGGAAACGGGTATAAAATAATATTTACTTGAACGCTATTTTTATCCTCGTTTTTCAAATGATGTTGTTAAATGAGAGGTACACTATTTGCGCACTTTCTTACGCAACAACAAATGTCTGCGTGCGTTAAATAGTGTTTGCAAAGAGGCGAGAGGTCACCTATTTTACGGTAGAGATAACAAACAAAAGACGGCCTTGAATGGTCCTCCACTTATTTAATGAATTGAATCTTAATGAAATGAACACTTAGGGAGAAAAGGGGGGGGATTATTGCTCCCTTTCACACTCAGTCACAGAACCAGTCTAAAATTCGCGTCCAGCATGTAACCAAATGAAAAAATCGTTTTTGTGGAGCGAACGTAATATGCAGGAAGGTTTTCGATAACACTATTTGTAAAATATCACTTTGAATTGTATCTCCTAACACTACTATCGATTCGAGCTTAATATATAGCTGACTAAACTGTATAAATTATATATATATGTCCATTGACTTAAATGCTTTAAGTAACGGTATATGTACCGATTAAAGTATGTTATTGTTCGAATGCTCTGGTAGGTGGGAAAGGTCAAAAGAAATAGTGCTTAAGTAGATATTTATCATTAAAAATAGGCCTTTTAAGTGAACGAATACCACTTTCTTAATGTGTGTCATTTTAAAATGTACATAAAAAGGAGGGAAATAATGTGTCGTAAAATGAAAAAAAAAATAGACTCATAATTTTTTATCTTATAAAAATTACGACTCTCTTTAAAATAAAAATCCTAACATAACCAAAATCTAAATTTGCTTGAAAAGAGTCTTCCGAATTTAAAAACTGAGCTATTTTTCTATACATTTATTAAAACTTTACACAAAACTATACAAAATGTTTGACTCACTATTGAAGCTAAATATTTAAAATTCTTAAAATATTTTATTAGTGGAATTTGCATTATTATAAAATAAGAGTACAGCGTACCAAATATTCAGAAAGAAAAAAAAACGCCCCCCCCCCTCAAAAACCGATTTTGAATGCATATTTACGACGGCCAAAATCGAGAAAAATTTCATAAGTGTTAGAGAAGTATTGAAAAAACAAGTTGTCTTTATTAATTCCTAGATTCGAAAATGTATTTGTAAATCAAAAGAAATATATTTTATTTTATTTTATGACTGTCGTTAAAAAGCCGACCCAATTTTTGGGGTTACGTCTACTCATGTTCAACTCCGTAACCTTGTAGTTTTGAACCCAATCCAGAAGACAAGGGAACTCTTGGATCAAGTATTGGGAGAAATTTGCCTTCGTGGAGGCTTTTTTGATGGAACTAACAGGCACTTGCGTTACATAGAGAGGAAGACCACGAGAACTTCCCATGGTTAGCCTGACGGCAATGAAAAAGGAAATATATCGAGATTATTAAACTGTCTTAAAATTAAAGTGACAGAAAAACACAGGGAAAAAATTCTGGGGAAATTACAGTATTGTAAATACATTTCTGGCAAAATAACTGATCATTGAACTAGAATGTACACTATTTAAATAATTTTACCGTTCGCTAGTAACAGGTTTACCGGAAGTTTTCAAAATTATAACCCTACATTTAGTAACAAATACAAAAATAAAATTAACCAAATAAATTTGGTTTTTATGCCATGCTCTAAAATCTAATTTTAATCTTTCGATGCCTGGTAGATTATATTTCTTATTCTAATTACAACATGAATGATGTTTAATTAAAGTGTTTTAAAGATGCTTTCCAATCTCTTTTGTTTTGTTCAAACGAGGAAATCTCGAATATGGGCCGTGCGCGTCATATTGTTCGCCTGCTGGAGGTTGAACTTTTGGTAGCACTGGGGGGGATGTCGGATATGATTTAGAGGAGTGTCATATTGCAATGGGAATAATAAAGATACGGCCGTTTTATTGTGTACTCTAATAGGTGACGAGTGCTTGTGTCCCGGCATTCCTCGGGAACAACTGTGATCAGTTGCAGCTGTCAGTTCTGTGTCTTCAAAATGTTCAAATTTAACGCCACGCACGAGATATGGTCAGTGATGCGTTTCATCCGGCAAAACAACCTGTCTGTTGCATACATTCCCTGTCAGAAGCAGAATTCCCTGACAGGGAATTTTACTACTCTATGACAATTTCTCTCTCCAGCTTTATGGGACTCTCTTGGTTGGGAAGTTTTGGACCACCCCTCCCTACAGCCCAGACCTTGCGCCGACTGGTTTTCATATTTTCTGATATTTCAAACATTTTTGGCTGCTATCACTACAACGATGACGTAAAAACGCCCGTGACCTCATGGTTCACGGAGTAGGCTGCAATTTTGTATGAAGAGGGTATTCTAAATCTAGGTGTAAGTGTTTAAACAAACTTTTCAAAAATGCTGAAAAAAGGAGAAATCTATATAGATTCTAAAAATATATTTGCTTCTTAAAATTTTTCTTTCGTTTGGTTTTTATCTTCAAAGGGTCCCTTACTCAAACAGCCCTCGTATATCTCTTTCGTGCTGATGTGTGCTCAAAGTATTTATTATGTTCTAGTCGAAATTCTACCCTTCAAAAGAAGTGGAATAACCCTATCTCGTGTGGGATTCAGGGGCCGCGACTAGAGTTCCTATCTGGAACTCCATAGCACCTTCTGATTGGTTTTTCCGTCTAACGTGGAGGTTTGCTTATGTTATTTTTATCCTGTGGTGGGCATTTTAACTCACTCCGTTCCACCTTACATAGTTTGTCTACGGTAAGAACTCCTCCCCCGCCACAAAGTCCGTGTGCTGTTATGGAAACAAGAATAGAGCATTCAGCTTCTCTTCACTTCTAGGGTTAAGACAGAACTCCCCTTGCTCTCGCCGACCCAAAACATGTCCTAAATAGAGTGACCCCTACTTGAAATAGTTTTGCCTCATCATGACCATACTCACCACCATGGGTCCAGATGAATGGAGCTCTTACTTTAGACAAACTATACTAGAATCGTTGTTGGAACTATTTAGTCAAGCTACTGTGCATAATGAATAAGTAAGTATTTGGTCATTATTAAAAAAAAAAAAACAATTCTATATTTCTGCGTTAAACCATAGTTTAAATAGACTGAAAAATATTTCTTACTATTGACTTATATTTTCCAAATAAGTTGTTTGCATTTATGATATTTCGAAATTCTTGTTGTTAAACTTCGCATTGAAATCTTTCTCTTTCTTCCTGTTTCTACTTCATATTTTTCTTGCCTTGCCTTTTTATTTTCCTTTTCATTTTTACGTTTTGAGTCATAATGTGCACATTAAATGCTAGTTTGCACCTGTTTTTTTATTATTGGGATTGATTTTGATTTAAATTTCTCCTTTCAATTTTTCCATTGAACGCTCCATACATTTTGAATATGCAGCGTTTTGTTTCGTGACTCATTCTGTTTTTTCTCTTTTGCTAGCATGGCTACATTTTCTAAGTCTATGGTTGTATTTTTTACAATAAATGTGTGCACCGGACATGTTCTATCATTAGTTTAATAAGAATCCTATCATTCGGAACAACTTATTAATAAATAGTTTTTAGTCATGACGAAAATACTTTCTCAATAACTATGCAACAGCTTCACTATTAAAATATATCCTATATTACAATGGCGGTAAAAAAATATTAAAAAACAGTTATAGAAACTAAATGTCTATCATGTGTGCAATGCACACCTATGAAAAGTAGGCGAAGAAAATATGTCTAACACAATATTATGTAACATAACATAATATCATTATAACATAAATATTATAGGAATAACAAAAGCGCTTTTTGTCCATCTATAAGAAAGTATCTGCCAATACATCGATGTACAATGTTGTTCACACATTAAAATGGCATAAACTTATTTTTCTTAACTTTATTTTTAGAAAACACTAATTTTGTATTTACTAAATAATTATAAAACAAATGTATTCAAAGCAGAAAAATGACATAGAAAATATTTTTAATGATTGAAGTGTCTCGAGAAAAAATGCGATTATTAAAAGCAGAAAGGTACAGTTCATAAATCATTCATCGTCTCAACCCTCGCACTTTTATTCTTGTAAAATAACGAATAAATCATTATTATTATAAAGATGGAATGGAAAACAAATTTCCTTTTACCAATAGATTATGAAGTGTTCATTAAACGTGTGTATTTCTTTATTTTAAGGTACATAAATTACAAACTCACTTAGCAAATAGTAATATGAGAAAGTGATGGCTAGAATCAAAATGTATCAAAAATCAAATCAAAAAATCATAAAAAAATATCTTATAATGAGCGCTAAAATTTGAAAATGAAATTTAGGTCATTATTTAATTTACTAATGTTTAAATAATAAAAAAGGTGATTTATAATCATATTTAATAGTACTTAAAAATAGGATTCACGAATTAAATTATTTCTATAAAAAAATGACGTCTTTTATTTTCAATTTTTAAAGAATACTAAAACTTCATTGTGTTCGAACTAAGATCGAGTGTGTTGAACCACGGATGTTCGACATCTACGAGACTACGGTTCATAGAATGATTGAGGTTCGAAAAGTTTAGAACCTAGATTCGAACCAAGTTCAGCAGATTTTTTGATCGCGGGAAATAATAGTACAAAATACGGTCACTCAATGTCCCTACTATTTCTTCCTCATGCGTATAGTCTTAGGAATCAAAAATTTAGCGGGAGAAATTTATTCAGTTATAGAAGTCACATTACAATTCTTAACGAGACCCACGTTGGTGCAACGATCTTAATTGTGATACACAATCATGACATTTCCCTTCTGAGATATTAATCTGACCCACTTTGTCAAAGAAAAATGGCTCCACTGTTGAAAGGGAATTCGTTAATGAGGTTCCCTTGATACAAATCTTATGACAGAAATTTTTTTAATTACTTCCATTGTTAAAATTATTTTTTTTTTAAAAATACACCATCATTATTGCAACGTAATTTTTAAAAATGATTTAAAATTACACGAAATATATCTGTTTTTTATTTCTGTTTCATCCCAAAGATGTGTAGGTTGTTGTTATTGATGGATTGCTTTAGGATGGGACTAACCCACATTTGCATTACATAGAGAGGAAAACCTCCTATGGTTAGTTTGACGGCAAGGAGGCTCTAACCCATGATCCTTCCACCACTGAGGATATTTTACATCTGCGCTGTGCTCGGTGCGTATCGACCCGCCATCGATGGGATTCGAACCCGAGTCACTTTATTGGATGAGGAAATCTCTATTCTCTGAGCCACCACGACTCACTTTTTATTTTTGTAATGAATGAACGATCATAAGATGCTTTAGCACTTTCTGCATTTATTTTTTGTTGCGCGGTTGCTTGTGTGCTCATAACACCCATTGTCCAGTTGAAGAGCAGGACATGTTACCATTCACTGTTACGGGCCTATGATCTATCAATAGATCGTCTTTTATTTTTAAATAGAGCTTTAAAGACAAAAGAGAAGAAAAAAATTCGTTCGTAGCAACGTTTTTTCTCTCGAGTCGACTTGCTTACTATTAAAAAAAAAAATTTATCAGGAATAAAAGATGGGAAAAAAAAATCAATAAGTTAATCTGATGATAGGGGCCATCTAGAGCAGGGGTTTCCAACTTACATGAGGCCGGGGGCCACAATTAAAAACAGAAAACAAATGGTGGGCTGCAACTTTATCAAACTTTTATGTAGGACTCTTTTATGTTTGAAGTAACATTAAATATTACTGTCAGATTTTTACCAAGTTGTACGAAAATATAGTATTGAATTACAAATTAAAATAAGAAGTAGATTTTTAAAAATATTTAATTGTTATTAATAATATTTTTAAAAATATTAAATAAATAATAAAATTTCGGGCTACAATAACTTTAATGTGCACCTATGTACTAAACAATTAATGTGCAATAGATATCTAATTGTTAAGTTGGTATTAAAACATAAATAGTTCTCTCACAAAATGTTTAATGAGAAAATTGAGGTTTGTCTGCTGTAACCGCCAGAGAATAGATATTTACATATTAAATTTAAAATTTACAAATGTGTGTGTTAATATTTTCGTCCAAAATGAGTGGTTTCAAAAAGTTAAATCAGAGAATTTCTTAGAGAAAATTTCTGATGCGCACATGCTAAATTATATTCACAAAATACAAAAAAATGAAATAAAAAAGAGCAACATACACGATTCTTTTTGCATTTGAATAAATGTTTTCTTGGATGCAAAACCTGAAAAATAAATTTTTTTGCACCGTTGGTATGTTAAATTTCACAGAAACGAAGAAATTAGGTTTTTATTAACGAGAAAAGTATTTTAAACCTATACAGATTTTTTACGAAAATTGCCCGCAAAAAATGACAACTAACATATTCTAGTTCGCGGGCCACAGAAAAAAGCTTCGCGGGCCGGATGCGGCCTCCGGGCCATCACGGCTCATAGTCTCAAAAAATATAAAGTAAGTCAGCGAAGTAAACCTTATCCACAGGCAGCAATTTTGACCTGAACCTCCGATTCAGTATTCCCAGAGGTATAATTTGTTATGGAAACGCAGAGGACTTTGTGACCCGACATATTTAACATGTACCAGTCACAGATTATTACACGGGAAGTCTTATCACGATTTGCGTGTGACACTTTACGACAATTAATTAGAAGGCAACAACTACAATTAATTAGAAGGCAACAAAGAATTTATTAGAAGAGCTGAGATAAATTAAGAAAAAGCCTCTCTGCAATGATAAGTAAGATAAAGTCTCCATTGCCTTTGGTGGTAGAACCTAGATATTGTACTTGTAATTTATTCTACATAGGTAGGTACTTCATTTACGCAGCCCTAGATCTGTACAATGGACTATTTGCCATGGTCTGGAAAACATCCATGAGAATGATCCGAAGACGTCACAATTTTGATCGTCTGCAGAGAGTGGCAGACCCCAGCTTTGGTAGCCCGATAACCTACGAGCGAAGACGAGTACTTTACGATAAAATTGTTTAAGGACAGATAACGCGCACCCTTGGTGTCTACGCAGGCTGATCAGAGCGGTCACCCATCCACTTACTGACAGCAATGATCTTGATTTCGGTGTTCTGTTACGAACTGTGTCTTTACAATCAGTCCACTACACATTCCACAGGAATAATTTTTTTTCTAGAAAATGTCCATTTAGAAGTACCGATTTTAATAATTTCATCGACATTTCGTCCTCATTCATAAAACAANTATATATATATATATATACTATATATATATCAATTGTTTTAGTTTGCTTTTTATATTTTTTTTCGTCAAACATAACACAATTTTATGAGTCTGCAAGTTTTATTTTATTACAATAGAATTATTTTGCGTGAGTAAATTTGTTATTTCCTAAGAGTATTTTGCTATTTTTTTCCCTTAAACAAAAAAAAGAAGAAAAAAAAATCGGGATCAACATTGGGGAAAATGCAATTCATTATGCAGATATATATCACTACTCACAAAATTAATTTGCTACAACTCATTTCATTTTCCAGATAAGATTGGATTCATTCAATTTCTTTGAAATGAAACGTAAAAGCTTGTTAAATAAAGTTTTAAAATTTCTAATACATGTTGTAAATCAAGTAGCGTCATCAATTTAGTTTTTATATAAATCAATAGGAATGAGATAAATAAAGATCTTTTTTTTACTTACCGAAGAGCAGGAGAGCTTCTCAACAAGTGCCGTTTGCGGAAGAAATATAAGAGTGAGGTCGGTCGTAACAAAACCGGTTTAAATAATTCCAAAGAATTAACTTTCTTCGGAGGAAGTTAGAAACGACACATAGACTGAAGTAAACATTAGAGGGGGGGGGGAGCGGCAGCCAGAGGGTGCTGGATGATTACAATTTGGACTCATCACTTTGCTTTGATCCCTCCAATGATGTAAACAAAAATAGTTTTAAATGAACATCAACAGGATTGAAAATATAAATTCCACATTGGACGATTTACTATGAATTATAAATGAATTCAGTCGTTTTCCTAAACCATTTTCATTGCCCCCCCCCCATCCAATAGGGAGAGATGACCCCTTTCATGAAGTAAAGCTCCCAACTCCTAGCTATTATTTATTCACAAAACATTTTAAATGTACTATTAGTATTATTTTCGTATGACATTAAAAGTTTTAGCGGGAATTTTACTTGAGTTAATCATGACTCAACTTTTATTTGGGTGGGGGATAAAAAAACCTTATTTTTTTGATAAAAATAATAATATTTCATTTTAATTTATTTAAAAATAATATTATTTCAATTTTAGCGATGTAGTTTTAAAGTTGAAGAAAGAGATCACGATTGAAATTATTTTATCACCCGCTTTTATTTCCCGCTTGAAAGGAAATAATAACATTTAGCTTTTATTAATATATTTCAATGTAAAATTCTCATTTATTTCTTACAGTTTTTATTTACTTTTCCAGTGATTGTTTTTTCAGGGATATTAAACTAAGAACCACTCAGCATCACACTGGAGAGAAGTTCCAGAGATCTTTTAATTCATTGACCGTTATACTTCACACGATGATGACAAAAAAAATACAGTCGGACCCCGATGTAACGAATTCATCGGGACCGGAAATTTTATTCGTTAAATCGGGGTTCAAAAAAAATTTGTTTTTTTGTACATATGTTATGTATATATGTTAATGTATATATATGTAATGTACATATGTATATATGTTAAAAATTACTAGTTATAAACGACTATTCCTGTTTGACTCATAGTCCACGCGACAAACCCCCCGGAAAATGACCTTGCAAGTGTAATATGTCTTATTGACTCTGCCCACCTACCCACGACGAATTTTGTTTTTCCCTGTTGCGGGCTTTTCTTTTGTTTGAGACGAATATGCACTTTTTCTATTTTATTCCTCCCAGGAAAGATTNTTCGTTAAATAGAAAATTCACTTCGCTATTTAGAAGTTATTTAACGAAGAAATTTCCAAAATGTTCTTGGTTCCACGAAAAAATTCGCAAAATAGAGAAATTCGTAAAATGGAAGTTCGTTATATAGAAGTCCGACTGTAGTTTTAAATGAACATCAACAGGATTGAAAATATAAATTCCACATTGGACGATTTACTATGAATTATAAATGAATTCAGTCGTTTTCCTAAACCATTTTCTTTGCCCCCCCCCATCCAATAGGGAGAGATGACCCCCTTCCCCACTATAATTAAAATAATAATAAAATGTCTCATGAAGTAAAGCTCACAACTCCTAGTTATTATTTATTCACAAAACATTTTAAATGTACTATTAGTATTATTTTCGTACGACATTAAAAGTTTTAGCGGGAATTTTACTTGGGGTTAATCGTGACTCATTTGGATGGAGGAAAAATACATAATTTTTTGATAAAAATAATATTTCATTTTAATTTATTTAAAAATAATATTTCATTTCAATTTTAACGATGTAGTTTTAAAGTTGAAGAAAGAGATCGCGATTGAAATTATTTTATAACCACTGAATATTTCCCGCTTGAAAGGAAGTAAAAATAAAATAAAAAAAATAACATTTGGATTTAGCTTTTATTAATATATTTCAATGTAAAATTCTTATTTATTTCGTACAGTTCTTATTTCCAGCGATTGTTACTTTTTTTTTCTTCAGGGATATTAAACAAAGAACCACTCTGCATCACACTACTGGAGAGAAGTTTCAGATATCTTTTAATTCATTGATCGTTATACTTCACACGATGATGACAAAATAAATAATAATTTCCAACTATAGATAAAAATTTAATGGATATGTCCATTGTTATCGGTGAATTTTTATGGGTCGGAAAATCCAGTTTTCCCACATTCATTTTCGTTTGGTTATCATCAGCATAAAATTGATATTAGTTATAAAGATTGTTTTCCCATCACTATTTTTGTATCCCTAATTTAAAGGTCTGTACTGTTATTATTAAGGTTTTTCATTTTGTTTTCTATAGGAAGAGGATTGTTGTTATTATTAGAATAACGTAACTCTACGGATTATTTAAATCGGTGTCCGATCTTAACATATTTTTGGGTACAAATTACATTAATATGAATGACAGCTAAAGAGATTTGCTTAATAATTTAGAACTTAGCTTTATGCGGATGAGAGCAAATATTGAATTTAAAATATATTCTTCGTAAGTAAAAATATTGAATGACAATTGTGAACTCACCCAATTTGTTACAACGCTACTCAGGGCACGGAAAAAACTCAGAAATTTTACCTGTCCTCCTTTGAAACGTAGCTTCTAAATAAATAAAAATATAATTTTCTCTTACAAACATTTATATAAATTGCACAATGAATTAGTAGTTACTTGGATCACATTATACAGTAATAAAAGAAATACTAGGTAACTAATAGCAAAACCTAGTAATTCTTTTATGAAATAATTAAAATAACAAAGGTGAAGTTATCTGGAATGTCAATTTATCCGAGGGTACTGCGTTTTTTTAAATGCATGAAATAGGACGTTTGCCAGTTCCACAATCAATCCAATGATTTGACAGAGGTTTCTGCACAGAAATCTGAAAGGGGTTTTCCATTTAGGAGGATGTTCATGATTGCGTTTAACGCTTCTTGTTTAAGACCTGTACGTAATGTTTTTTTTGTAAGTTCATTGCTGAAAAGCCTCTTTCAACCGCTGCAGTACTCCCAGGCAGAGAAAATTCCACCATGCGCAGTATTTCTAGATTAGAGGGTCATTTTAGAAGTGAGGCGCTAGACTCTTGTAATATGACAAAAATTGAAAATGTATCACGAACATTAACGGGAAAATGGCCGTCCGCGCGGACGTCGAATTCAGGAAATTTGTTGCCCGCAGGGAATTCTTGACCGTCGAGGACGGGCGGTTTTTCGAGCCCTGACTATACTTTTAATCTGACCGTTTTAGGCTGCCAGCGTCAAGATTAAAAAATAAAGTGTTGCATTTGCTGAAAGCAACTTTAGTAAGAGTTAATACAGTTATCTTACAATTTTATTCAATATATTATTGAAATTTAAATAAATATCAATGTCCTAATATTATATTTATTTAGCTACCATTATAATTAATGAGTTAAAATAGTTTTCTATGTTAGATTTCTGCAACTCTTCAGTGAACACTGTTCCAAACGTTTTCACAACTGTCAAGGTTTTCCCCGATTCTGCACAAGCAGAAAATTCAAATAGTACCAGCACAGGTCTTTAAGACGTCATGCAGTTCATACTTTTCTAATTAGGTTTGAGTTTTGCCTTTTCGTATCTGTCTTGTACTTCCGTATTTTTTATATATACATAAAAAGTTCTTTTTAGAATAATTTAACTGCAAGTAAAATCGCATACTTAAGTTTCGGTTGTAGTATTATTAATTTTATATTCAACGGTGAAATACGTTCTCTGTTTATAAACTGTCGTATTTCTCTGGTTGTAGCAACCAAAGATCGTTTCAGCCCTATTCTAATTTATGATTGTGCTATTTGATATTGGGCACTTCTTTATTTCAATCTCCACTTCGCACATTCAGGGAAGAAATAACAATAGACTTCAATTACTAATAAATCCCCATTTTCAATAAATAATTTTCTGCCGTTGTCAAGGGTTCTGAAGACATGTATAAAATATTAGTAATTCAATTAGAGCAAACACTTTCTGTTGAGAAATTTTTTGAACTACTCTAGCTTAACTTAAAACCGTTATTGACACATGAATTATTTGGAAAATTTATTATTATTCCTTTTGAGTTTTATCATATGTTTTTATGATATAATAAGTATAAAGTCAGTATAATAACAAAAACAAATTTCATAAAAAAAACAAGCGTTGAACTTGGTTTGTTCATCGATTTAGTGAATGCTGCTTATATGCACCATTTTATTTCTTAAATAAAATATAATTTTTCATACATGAATTTTTTTTGCGTTTTAATGAATGTAATGCAAGCATATTTCAATTAAAATAGCACCACATTTTAAAAGATTTCTATGCTTGGTTTAAAATGAGTTAATAGCAATTAAAGGAGTGAATTGATGTGAGAATAATTTATTTATTCTACTGAAAATTAACTTAGAAAAAAATTTTAAAAATATTCTTTTAATTCAAGAAGCAACTAACATGCTAAATAAAATAATTCGAGATATTTTTTGGTTTGATTTCAGAATGAAGCCTGAAATTGAGAATTTCCTGTAAAATGCATCCTTTCCCACTGAATCCACTTCAGTAACCACACATACGAACCCACAAGAATTTCATCAAAAAAGTAACAGGGTGCGTAGCCAAAACTTTTATCAAAAAATAAGCACCTTTTAAGTACTTTTCAAGCACTCAAAAAGTATTTTTAAGCACTGTATGCATTAACAAAATGTAAAATAATTTTTTAAAAGTTTACATGATCATGATAAAATAACTAGTTTCTGAGAAAGCACTCTCTTGATTATATTAGCCACCGTAAAAAGATCGAGAGATTTTACTGTTCAATATTAGAGGTTGGAAAATAAAGCCTGATATTGAGAATATCTTGCAAAATGCAGCATAGTTGCACACGAGTGTGCAATAATCTCACCGAACCCAGCTCAGTAGATGCACATGCGGACTCTCATTTCATCGGACATGTAAAATTATGGGCTCTTTCATACCCTACGGAGAGACGGCCCGCTGAAATGCACCATAGTAGAATGAATTGTGAAATTGTTGAGTAGAACAATGTGAAGACGACGCTTTTTACATAATTCGTGGCAAAAATCGGCATGTAAAGAAAAAATACATCATTTTAGGTAATTAAGCACTTTTTAATGACACCCGATGAAAAATGCATCTTTAAGGGTGTTTAAAAAACGAAAATAAGCACCTTTAAGCACTTTTTAAAAATGCTATGCACCCTGATGAAGTTTAAATCTCATAAAATGAAGTTTCTTAAACAAATAAAAATAGTTTTTTGATACATTTGAAGCATTGTCTTTTTTAAATATTTTTATTCACATACTAGTTTTAAAAAAAAGCACGTAATTAAAAAATACATTTATTATTAATAAAAAAAAATTTATAACATTCTGACAGTTATACATCTGCAGTAAAAATAAAAGTATTAAGGAAAAAAAAATCTCATACACTAAAATATTTTTGTTTAAAATTTTTTGAATAAGCGTAAAATGTGAACAGTTATAAAAATTTAACATTAATACTTTAAATAATTGAAGCAAACTAGTTAAACTCCACGAAAAGTTTGAAACAAATCACATCCTGCTTTAAATCACTTTCTAAAGCTATACAGATAAATTATAATCACACATGAATGCAATATGTTGTAAGATTTTTTTAATACAGGATAACTACAGTAGGTATCTTTTTTAACAGCTTATTAAAACAAATTCAAAATTTTCAAGCTGAAAAATATTTCCTTTACAATATTAAATATTTTTTATTAAAAAAAAATGGTCAAAGGGGAATAAAAACACTTTTTTTACTTCTAAAGATTAACTATATTTTGAAATTAAATGACATTAGGTTAAAATATAGTTAAATACATTTCAACAAAATATTTAATGAAATCACTATACAATTTTCATAAAACAAATTAATAAACTTAAATATCACAAAACAGGCACTAAAACAAAGCTCATTAAAAAACACAAACCAATGAAATGAGTTAACAAAAACAGATGTAGAGCTTTTATTTAATGACTTTGGAAAAGCTCAGCTAAAATGAAATAAAATATTGCTTTGCAGAATTATAAATGGTTTTATAAGAAAAAGATCTAATAACCAAAAATTGTTTAAATTTTTTTTTTTTACATTAGTATAAATGTATATTTCATGCATAAAAAGAGTTCCAAGCAATTTATATTTCATCCTTTTAAATTTACACTTAGATGATAAACAAATGTTCAGTGTTATTTTAAGATGATACAAATGCTGTTATAATTTAAATGTAACAATAACAAATATATCTATAAATGCTTTATGTTCGAATTAAAGGGTCACATTACCCAAAAAATGACCAAAATATCGATAATTCTTTATTGCTTATAAATGAAACTTCAAACTATTTCAAATACAATGGGGAAAAAATCTCTCTATCCATATTTAAAAAAAAAAAAATTATGAATGATTTCAGATTGCTCTAAAACAGAAACTTGGATCAACAGACTTCAAAGTGCTTTTTCTCATAGATGATAATTTTGTGTTTCAATCTTAATTAAATCCCTAAGGAATTTTTTTTACTTAAGATAAAGCTTTGAAGCAAATTTTTTTATCTTAAGGATAATACACTTATTTAAACTGTGCATGGAACAAGCATTTTATAAGGTATTACAATTTTTACAGCATGTTATATATACCTAACAGGAATTTTTAACCTTTTTTTCCCCACTTTTTTTTACAAAATGTATAAAAAATGTTCAAATTGGCATATGAACAAATGAATGCACAAAACTGCTAAGATGAATGTTATAAGCACTAAGAAAAAAAATTTGAAAATATGTTGAAATAAAAGAGCCTTAAGGATTTAAAAATTTAGAATTTTTTTAAAATTAAAAAAACAAAACAAAAAAACATTATGAGCATATCAAGCATCCACAAAATGAAAGATTATACCTGTTTTTAAAAAAAAATGTTGCAAGGGTACTGTGATCCCTTAACTAATAAAATAGTGAATTAGTTAAATACGCTAATTGCCTAGAAAGCTAAAAGTGAACACAGAATGATTTCTTATAAATATTTACTAGAGTTCAAGGCTTCATAGCATATAGAATTTTTTTATTTTTTCACTTGAGGATCAGTTTATTTAAATTCCAAGCATTTTGGAAATTGCATTATTTGGCTGAACAAAATTAATAAAAATCAGAATGCACAAAAAGGTGTTCAGTAAACAGTAGATTTTGTAGAATACCAAGTTTGGAATAATATTGGATATTGCAAAATACTAGTTTAAGATCAAGTTTTGTAAGATGCTATGCTTGTTAGCAATAAACAAGCTATGTTAAGTATTTACATTTTATATAGAAAGTAGAACTCTTGTAATAGAACAAAGGAATCTTAAAATGTAAGGTTATTAAATAAATCTCTGAAAATCGACATAAAATAAAGGTTTATACATTAATCACGTAAAAAAATGCAATAAACGTGTAATTACGAGTCAAAATAATCATAATCTATAAAAAGAAAGGCAAAATATCAACAGTTTTTACTTAATTTCAAATGCAAGTAAATTTTTAATGTAAATCAGAATTCATATGATTTTATTATATATTGAAAAAGAAAATGACAGACAACACTTGATTCATTTGAACTTATGGCTCTTTTAATGATGAGTTTGAAAAGAAGCTGCTTATAGAATTTGGCTATATTTTGGAGAAAGTATTTGACTAGACTACTTTTCGCACTTTCTATTCTTATGGACAAAAACAAATGTATTTTTCGATATCCCACATGAATCAAAGGTTCAAGTGATATAACATTCAAAAAGTACCCAACAACAAAAATTTTTAAGCTATTATTTTATGTTTAATATTTATTTACTGAAAATAAGCAATAAAAAAAATTCTTTTCATTTAATTTGAATTCAAAACTTTCAGAATTTCACAGGTTAAGAATCAAAGGAAATTTAACAAAGCACTTTTACTTATGTACTCAAAAGCCTCTTAAATTATTTGAAAAAATAAATTTTTTTTCGCTGTATGGTTACATTCTGGAATTCTTTAGATATTTTATGGTAATGATTAAATTACATTTGAACCTACATTTTAGTGATTTCATTTTAACTGTTAAGAGTATAATATTCTAAGAGCAAGTTTAAATTTTGAAAGGATTTCTAATATTTCCTTACTTAAGGAATGATAAAAAAAAAAAATGTGAAACTTCACAGCAAATATTTTGATGGGAAATGAGTTTCAAAAACTTGAAATCTAGAATTATTTTATTTTAATAGTTTTAAAACAAATCTTTGAAAATTTATTCCTTTGGATAATAATAATTTAAGAAGGAATGCCACTACATTAAAAAAAATTTTTTTTTTCTATCACATGCAGTATTTTATAATCTAGAATTAGCATATTTTAAAGATTTGCATTAAATCATCTGACTTATTCAATTAGAACATAAAACAAATTATTTAATTTAATTAAACTTCTTTAAATGTAATGAAGCAATATAACAAAGCTGCCAATTTCTTGCTAGTAATTAAAAAAAATCCTAAGTAAATAACATTAAAGTTATCTAATTAAAGAGCTTTCTAAATTATATTGGCTATATACAAAATAATAATTCAAATCTATTTCTATTAATGTCAAACAACCTTTTCTTTCACACAAGAGTGCCTCTCACAAGTGTTGATTCAAACCAAACTTTACTCTTTCAAGAAATAATGTTTTTAGCTACATTGCACAAGGAAATTACTCTCTTTGTTCTTAGCCACATTATTCTAAATGCAATCTCATTCCATTCCAAAGAAATTGTTCTTAATGATGTATTTGGTATATCAGATTTTAACACTAAACATACCATAATCGGTCAAATGACCGTTGAACTTTTGCATCGAAAATACGCTTATCTTCTCATTGTTTTTTACTTTTATATAACTTATGACTTAACTTTACTTTATGACTTTTTCCAACAAATATATACAGTCAATATTCCAGTATTATATTTTTTTTGTATTTTGTTTGTTTTGAATAATACTTGTCACATACCTATTTCCACCACAACAGGTCATTTGACCGGGAGAACAATTTACTGCATTATAAGGTTATCGGATCAGAAATTACGATTAAATGTGTGTTCAACGTATTGCATTTCTGCAAAGACTGTTGCATAGTTAGTTCAAATCAGAATAATTGCGAATTCAAATTTAAAGAAAGTACCTAAAATTTCAGAATGGCATTTTTGTGTAATAAAAAGTGACAAAAACTAAATATTTTGGTAAGTAGCTTATACCTTATTTTGATAGCGTTACTTTATTTCTAACTAACTGTTAGTTTTTACCCAGAAAAATGTCAAAACAATCGAGCAGCACGAATTCTTAGAAGAAATAATATGAATTATAAGAATAATGATAAGAATTATAATTCTTATAATGATAAGAATTATAGAAATAATAATAATTAGAAGAAATATGAACAATGGAAATACTCAGTATATGTAAAAAATGTGTTAAGCAATGAATTAAAAATTCTTATTCTTCAATTTAGTTTATTTCCATCCATTTATAAATTCAATCAAGAAACAAAGTCTGGTCATTTGATTGACTATGGTATAAATTAAGTGTTGGTATGTTTAGTGTTAAGGCTGGCAGTATGAAGGGAAAGTATTAAAAATCGAAGCAGGCAATTTTTTAAAATAAAATAAATAAATAAAAACAGAAGAGAGTGAATATGGCAGAGTGTTCTACAAATGTGAATGAATTAGCAGTTATGAGAAAATAACAATTAAATGCATAAAAACTCATTATTTATACAGATACTTCTATCATGATATTAAATCTCACAAAAACAATATAATTAGTATTACTTACAAATCATGGCAATTCACTGTCTACAAATACTTGACAAGGAACAAAAAAATAATGCGTAAGAAGTCTTATTTTAATCTTAGAAAATTTATTCCTTTGGATAATAATAATTAAAGAAGGAATGCCACTACATTAAAAAAAAAAAATTATTTCTATCACATGCAGTATTTTAACTCAATAGAATATAAAAAGGATTTAACTCCAAATAGATCTAACTTTAGATGCATTTAAAATTAAATATCAATAGATTATCTATTTCAAATGGAGTCTTTTTGCAGTAGGATTTATTTTAATGGTTTTGAAATTGTCTGTAATTTCATTATTTTGTTTAAGAATTACGTTCAGCTGTTATATTTGTAAGCAGAATGTTTTGCTGTGTGAATGTTTCTAAGTAACTATGAAACTTTGTTCAGATTTTGAAACACATTATTTTTCCATTAGAAAACCTGGCATTGAAATCCTAATTTTTGATATAAGTTTCTTAGCAAAGTCGAAATTTAAATTAAAACTATTTTTACACAAAAAAAAATTCAAAATAATTGAGACATGGAACTTTTTTTTTATATAGTCTATTTCCTAATGGAGGGTGTTCACTACTAAAAAATTTAGACTAAAAAAGGAATTTCTTTTAATGATATAAAACACCATTGCAATTTTTAGGGAGCAATTCCAGTGATTTTTTTAAAATGAAAACCAGGAAGGAAAATAAACTATAATATGTAACACTTATAAATAATTAAAATTAAAAGCATTTTAACTGATGGATTCTTGCTTAGAAATAAGCTAATGTTAGTACATTGTCTAATGTAAGAGAATGCAGATAATTTTTATAAATTAGAATGAGGAAAAAAAATACATTAATCAACACATGTAATTTCTCAAGTACTTTTTTTTCTTAGAATAACTAAAAAAAAAAAGTCGTTAAAATATAATACACACACACATGAAGAATTTTCTTTTCTTTTCATATACAAAACATAATCATAAACAAAGGTAAACAGAGTGATAAGGAAAAGAAAACATTTCTTTTTTAGGTAAAATTACTTAATGATGAAACCAATTTATAGTTTCATAGAATAAAATCTTCAATCAAGTTAGTTTTTGCAAGCACATCTATAGAGCAGAGTTCCTAGTTTTCTTTTGATAGGGAGGGAGGGGGATCGAATTCTATTTAACAATCCACAAGTTATGCATATGAATTTCAGAGAAACTAAGACTGTGAAAAGAAGTGCACCATTTTTAATTTCCTATAAATTTCATGAGGTGAGGAAAGCTTTAGGCAGTATATTATAGACTTTGACCATCATAGAGAGAAATATGAACCAGAGCTTGCGAGCACCATTGTATCGCATGAACACTGTTTTCCACAGGAAAAACAATAAAAGAGCATGGCCCATCTTAGTATATAAATATATCCTGCAAAAGAAATTAAACGTAGAAAGAATATAAATTACATTGTATGGGCAGCACACACAATAAAAATTATGATATAGTGAGTTTCACACAGAAAAAGGACCCATGGGTCTTATTCCATGTTAACCTACAAAGAATTAATCATGAACATATTCATGAATTAATTAACCAAGGCCAGTCTGCTTAAATGCAACAGAATTTCACATAAGCTTGTAATATTTACAGGGTATCTGCTACACTTTAAATTTTCAAATTCATGACTTTCCATGACTAATTCAAAAATTTTTCATGACTTAACAAAGTTAACTATTTTCACTGACAAATACACAGCAATAAATTTAAAAAAAGCATTATAATAACATCAATTGAAATTATAGGTATGATCAAAAGTTATACTCTGCATCTTCAGATATATAGATTTTAAACTTAAAAAACAGAGTAAAGAAAGAGTTGAAGCAATAAAATAGCTTAAAAAAATACAAAAGCAAATATTTTTTATTTTTTTTTCCAGCAGAATTACATTCTAAAGGTACTTTTCTTTTTCATCGGAAAAGAAGAAATACTCCTAACTTTTCTGTTCTCATTTTGGAATAAAAAAAATTCGCAAATAACTGGCTTGCTTCAACTAGAATTTTAAATTGATAAAATAAATAAATAATAACAAAAATTCTGAAATCTCAGAAGTTTAAAAGATAATTTGCTCCAGAAATGATGTTTTTTCTTTCATTTTTGAAAGAACATCATAATTACTATAAAAACATTTTATATTTTAATAAAATATTAATGTGAGTGGGGATTGTGTTAGAAATTCAGATATTCGGCAACCTAAATCCTTGACTTTCCATGAATTTTTAAAAAAATAGTTAAAATCATGACATTTCATGACAAATTTTGTTCCATACCGAAATTCATGACTTTCCATGATTTCTCATGACCTTCCAGGTGGGCAGTTTAAGTGTAACTAGACCTTTTATTGAATATGTTCACTGAAAATAGCTGAAGTATTACACGACTTCAGCTTCAAACAAATTTTTCTTGCTAAAATTGAGTTATTATATGTAACCTATGCAAATCTTGTCTCATTTTTGTTACATTTAAGGCAACCAGCAGTTAAATGCAACACCCAAGGTACTTAAATATGACAGTGCATTTTTACAACGTTTTTATTCACTCGCTTTCGTGTCTTTAACAATCTGACATCTGCAACCCTTCCGACTAATTGGAATGCTCCATGACCAGTGACGACGCAAGTTTAAATTGTTTCATAATGAATGCGAGTTGCATTTATACCCATTTTATAGCAAAATTAAGCTATCATCAATTTTTTTTAAAAATTTGAATAGACTAAATAAAGAATAATCTAAAATAGTGTTTTATGCTATACATTATCACAAATAGTCTTTAAAGACATTTCGTCGCTTTGAAACTAAACCGTTGTAACTCAAAAAAGTCGAAAAATGAGATTTTTGGGTCATTTTGTGTAAAAAAAGTCACCCTTTTAGAAAAACAACTTGTTATCTTTATAGTTCCATAAAGTTAATTTAGAGAGCAGATAAATCGTCATCACATTGCCGCAATTAGCATTAGCGCGGAAAGTTTGAAATCGCTCTCCTGAAAAACTTGCTTTTTTGAGTTACCAAGGTTTAGTTTCAAAGCGACGATTTGTCAAGTTTTAAATTTATGTGCTTGTAATGCTCCAGCTGGAAAAGCAAAATTTGAAGAATTGAAACTAGAATATTTTATACTGAACCATATGTATTCCATAGGTCTAAAAGTAATTGCACAATTCAGATAATTCTTGCTAGAACCTTGATAATTCAAAGATAGTTTCATAAAAAAATAATAGTCTAAAAAAATTTAGAATTGCAGATTTTTACACAATTTTAAAATATGTAATTTTAAAACAAAATGCAAAATGTGAACATATCAGTCGAAAAGTTAATTTAAAATTATATAATATAAAAAACTTTAAAAATTTGTATGCCTCGCGATAAAATTTTTTTTTCCGTAGTATAAAATTCTTAAGAGTTAATAAAAATAATTTTTCCCATTAAAATATCATTAGGTATACGCAAGCTGTGAGCAAAAACACAGAAAGTGAATTTAACATTAAGGACTAAATTAATGGGATTATATTTCCCAATTAACATGCTTACTCCTGCATCTGTTTGCCTAATTGTTAGCTTTCTAGAGTAAATTCTGATATTAGTCAGGTTTCAACAACCTTTTCGTAAGAAAGCATTGGAAAAGTCATTCAAATGTTTCTTTTTGTTATGACATTTTGCTCTTTTTTTAATCACTTGCAACGTTTTATTATATTTCTACAGCCACAGAAATATTTCAATGTTACGTAACTGTGACATTTGGTGCTGTAAGGTTAAGAGGATTAACACTTGAATTTGTAAAAAGTGTTTAAAACACCAACAAAATCAAAAATTTACTAACTAGGTACAATAAAGTTGCCACTCAAATTTGGAAGAAAAAAAATTCCCTGTGTTTCCCCTGTACATATTATACACAATATATTAAGAGGAAACAACAATTATTGTGCTTTTGTGCAAGCTATATTGGGTTACTACATTGATTAGTTTTAATGGCTGGGAAAACAGCTGAACGTACTTAAATAATGCTATAGTAAATGAAATAGTTTAGTATAGGTGAAATATCATTGTTAAATATCTAATAGATTACGCTTTGAGTGGCCATCTTTTTTTTTTAAAAGACTAAAATAAGAAACAAAAATTCCCTGTATTTTCCCAGTTTGTAAAGAAAAAATCTAAATTCTCTGTTATTTTAGGTGATTTTTAAATTCCCTGTATTTTCCCTGTAGAGTGGCAACCCTGTATGAAATCATTAAAATGGATAGAATTGGCATGATTTTTCAAATTTCTGGGAAAAGAAATAGAATGTGTTATCATGTGTTGAACGTAAATTACACAGCATCTGCATAAAACCAAATGTACAACTTTTACAAACCTTTTTAAACTTTTTCTAGCAGATGGCAGTGAAGAGAGATCTTCTTTTAAAAGAAATTGCCGAATACCTAAAATATATTCTTCTATGTAAGTTGGCCAATGGAGACTTTCAATATCAAAATTGAATTCCTAATGGGAAAAGAAATAATTCTTTTATTTTCATACAAAATACCCATTCATTGAAAAAAAATGTACATCTAAATAAATTTATAAGCAAAAAAATAATCATACAAAGCTTTTAGTTATAAATTAAGTTTAAATAGTCTCAGACAAGTCTTGAGCTATGCCATAGTAAACAGTAGATACAGGACCTGTGCTAAGCATTCGCCACCTTACCAAATGCCATAAAATCATAAATTTGGCGAAATAAATTATGTTTTAGTGAACGATTTTTTCTAACTAAAAGAGAAATATACATTTCTCTTGATCCTGAAAATTAAATCAACGGATTTTTTTGTACAAATCTTGTCTTTGTTTTATTTATTCAATTGAAGTAATTTCCTTTAGATATGTCGCATATTCTTTTAGAATTATATTGAGTCCAGATAATGTAAGCAACAACAAAAAAATAAATAATAAAATCATATATGAATAATGTTAAATGCTAAGTACAGACTAACAAGTTCATTGCCAAATCATGTGACAAAACTCCCACAGTTAGTGTCAATTGACCAAATGAGTGATGCATATTTTCATTCAACTATTTTGCCAGAAAATATCATAACAATAACAAATTGTTTATAAAAATAACTTATTTTAAAACAGTTGCTAAAAGAAAATTTTACTTTGATTTTATCTTTATAGATTGTTAATGACAGATATAATATAACCAATAAATGCCTTAAGCCCAAATTTCATTAAAAAATCTCTGTGAGTAGCATAAAAACCAATAAAACAAAATTAAATAATTCAAATAACTGAAGACATTCTTTTATTAAAGGAATGAAACGTTTCATTTAACAATGAAATATATCTAAATGTTGCGTCAGGTTTATCCTTATATTACTGCCCCTTATATTAACCCCAATCTATTTGTATTTTCTGAAGATGATAATCAAAGAGAAGCAGGATTCAAAGTGTTCGTGGTTTTTCTAAAACAGCATTTAAAATATTGTTTCCAAAAAAATCCTTTATATTAAAAGAAAATGGGATGAGATAAAATGCAGAATTAATCGTAAATAGTTTTTGAAAGTGCAAAATTGATTTTATTCTTGATTTAAATCGTTAGAGAGTGGAAAATGAAGGCTGAAATTGAGAATATCTTGCAAAATGCAGCAGAGTTGCGCATGAGAGTTAGTGGTGATTGTGACACAAAGTGAAAAACCCTGAAAATTTTATATGCAAAAATTCAAAAGAAAAATATATATATATACATATAAATTTTTATATGATTCATATTTGATATAATTTTTGAACAAAGATTTATAATTCAATTACCTGGCAATAAAGAACATCCCACTTTTATAGTAACTAATTTAAGAATAAAAACTTTAGCAAAGAAAATTTCTTTCAAGAATCGCTACATTGGGTTTTAAACTTGTGGGAATACAAATTGCAATATTGGATTGGAATATTGGAATCGCAATAATTTAAATCACTTGGATACAAATCACGCGAATACGATTTAAAATGAGTAATTGTTAAATCTGGTAAACACAATAATCGATGTTAGATATTAAAATCACAAAAGTATGAAGCGCAATAATAGTGGATATCAGCATAGCTTCAAATTTTAAAAACTATAAAAATCCGACAAAAATTTTTTAAAATAAATTTTAAAAAATCGAAGTTGCGAAAGAATAAAGTGTATGAAAACGTCTCGTTAACGCAATTTAGCGAAGCAAAATTTCAATTTTAGATTGCAATGAAGATTCCGTTGCATTATAAGTTTTGATTTGCGGAAGCAAACAAATCTATGATCTTGAGAAATACAGAATTCAGCAAAATAAAAAATCACATGCCCTGGTCCTAGTTTCTAGACCTGGAAGGAAGATAAAAAAAACTCAGAATTTAGGGGTACACCCGAATACAATTGCCTCTGGAGTGAGCAATAATTTCACTGAACACAGCTTGGTAGACACAAGTGCAGATTCGCAAGTATTTCATCAAACATGTAAAATAATTGGTGCTTTCATACGCTATGGACCGGTGGTACGCCAAAATAGATTGTGGTAGAATGAATTATGAAAACGTTGATAGAACAATGTGAAAACCAGGTTTTTTCATAACATGTGGCGAAACTCCGCAGGGTAAGGAACAAAATTTCACTATAGAAAAGGGAAAATTAAGTACTTTTTAAAAACACCCAATGAAAAAAGAACCTTTAACGGCTTTTAAAAAACGAAGATTAAACCTTTAAAAACGCTATGTACCATGAGTAAAGACAATATTTTTATTATTGAATTGATAAAACAAATTAAAGTAAGCTTAAAAGTTTTAACTACTTTATTAAACTATTTTACTTATTAGACCTGCTACTTCAAACAAAAGAAAATAGAAATTCCTCAAAATGAATGATTAGGAGTTCATTCACGTGCTTATTATCTGTGATGTGTCCAGTTACTTTTCATGTTAGGCAATAATCAGCTTTAAAATTTTCTGTCAAACATGTAAAATGTAACACTATTGATTGCAGACTCACGGGACCAAACAAGTGTTTCATGGGATGCGATATTTTGCGCTGTTGAGGTTCAACTGTAGATACATTTCCCAACTAAAAAGGTAGTCAGAACGAGACATAATAATTTAACACGAGTAAGAAAAAATCAAAACTTAACCCCGTCCCAACCGGAGAATACCGTAGACTCAAAGTGAGCGCACATGACTACTCAGGAAGAAAAAAGGGGATTCACAAAGGTAGGCTTGGTGACGATCCATGGTAACACATTGAAATAATGGGCAAGAGAGGCAAAAGCAAATTAAGGGAAAACCCTGGTTGATGTAGGCTGGGCGCCGCACGTTCAGAGCAGCAACCTAACTAAGATTCAAAGATTCCCTCCCCCCAACCAGGTAGCCACAAAGAATTTAGTGAATTCTTAAAATTAACAGTTACTTGGTAAAAAAATTTAGGAGTTTGAGTGTTCAGACATAGCAGGTGAGGCATCAAACAAAAAACAGTAAAAGCATTGAATAAAGGTAGCAAACATATTGTGATGATGAAAAGTGCTACAATTTGCACATAGCCAATGAAAACAGATACAATTTCAAATAGAAGAGTTACAGCGACACAGCTGTTAAGAAACATCTACGAACAAGAGCAAATTTAAAACATGAACAGTTAGAAAATTTGACAAAATTTTTAACAATACATGAGTAAGAAAAAGAAAGAAATCACCTTTTTATCTTGCGGAGAAAGTTTTTCTAACAAATTCGACACATTGCTGCTGTTAAAAGTCCATTCGTGAGTTGTAAAATATTCCAGACATTGTATTGCTCGATGAAGTTTTTTATAGATGGGTATAAGCCTGTATGAAAAGAATTAAATATACCAATAAGAATATATACTGGAAAAAAAAAGTTTTTATATTCAATTTTACAATCAGTTAATATTTACTGGTCGTGGTGCATCACGATTAAAATTTATAAAAATTNTAAAAAATTAAAAAAAAAAAAAAAAAAAGCCATATTTTCTGAATACCACTTAAATTTGTGCAATTGACAGGCTATGGTTTCTCATGCGTAATTTATTGTTCAGAAAGGGGAAATGTCAAAATATGATTTTGAATTTAGCGGTTACCGATTACTCAATGTCCTTAAAAAACATGAATGACATAAATTTTTCCAAGTTTCGTGCTATTTACCAATGAGGGTGATATAATTTCATATTCAGTTTTAACTTGTTTCAACAAGTTAAAACTGAATATGAAATTATACTGGTTTGTACTGTCTTGAAAAAATTAAGGGTTTTAACAAATGCTTCATGTGACGTAAATTTGTTTAATTTCACTTTGATTTTAGAATTTCAGTTGGACAGTTGTAACATCTAACTAGATTTCCATTAACTTGGAAATGTTCGCTTTTTCTTTAGGTAAATAGGAACAAATTACCCATTTTGACTTTCTACCATGCATTTAAACTTTCCAGATAGGCTCTTGTTTAATCAGTTAACAGTGCAATTTATATTTTGTCCTCCTTGGCAGAATAGTAATTTTATTATCAATGCAATTCAATAAATATTCGAATTGAAAAATTTATTTCATACAAGACAAATTTTTAATGAGATGCAGTCACAGTAGAAGACCCTAGAATATGGATGGTTGACTGAATTTCACACTCCTCTTTTGTTATGGCACGAGGCGATCTGTGAACAGATTTAATATTCCAGGATTTATGTTTAAATATTTCATAACCCATAAAACTTTTTTGTAATTTATAAATTCTAACAGCCTAAGCCTCGAGCCCAAAACAAATTTAACACTAAACATACCCTAACTGGTCAAATGACTGTTTAAGACCTAATATTAATAAATGACCTAATAATGATAAATGACCTAATATTCTATTATTACTCTTTTTCTGCATTTTGTTGATTTCGAATACTATGTGTCGTATACCTATTTCTACCACAACCGATCATTTGACCGGGAGAACAATTTATTGCTTTATGAGGCTATCGGATCGGAAATTACAGTGTAATGCGTGTTCAGCGTATTGCATTTCAAGAAAGTACCTAAAATTTTAGATTGGCATATATGTTTGCTAAAAATGTACAATGGAAACACTCTGTATATGTAAAAAAATGCTTTGAGCAATGAATTAAATAATACATAAAAATTGGCAAAATACAATTCTGTTTAGTTATAAAAGTTTTTTTTAAATTTATTTCCTTCCGAACATCCATATTTCATACATTCTATAAAGAAACATAAAATCTGGTCATTTGACCGGCTATGGTTCTCATGTTGTCCCGTATTTGGGTATTTTTGTGTAAAAATAGGGCCTTTTGTAATTTTTTGGGTAGCATCACAGTAAGTACAAATTCATATGTTGTTTGTTTCAGTGAAAGTTAAATTGAAAAACTGAAATTGGATGACAGGTTATTTCAAGCTTATACATAAAAAACCGTCAGAAATAATAACCCAGAAATCTTACGGCAAATTTTGACTATGAGCACCATCTGAGTTTAGCTTTACACGCTCAGCCATCCATACAGAGTTTTTCCCAGGAAAAAAAAGGGGTATGACACTTCCTCCCAGAAAAGGGAACTTTGAGTTTTGAAAGTGCGCTCAATAAACACTTTAAAAATTTATTAAATTGTGTAATATTATGCAATAACTGAATTTGATACTGAACAATATTTAAACTACCCTCTTTTAACTATACTATTTTAAGTGTATATTTTTAAAAATAATTCTCTCTCATTATCAGAATAAGAGAACAATTTGTAGTTTATAAAAATAATTAAAGGTATGCTGAAAAACAATTTCTATGCATAGATTTTTTTCAAATAAAATCAACTAAAAAAAATGATTAATTGATAAACAAGTTGAAAGCTTTTTTTTTATAATTTAAACAGAAAATTATGAGAAAATAAACATTTAAAGGCACGTAAATTAAAGATTAATTCTTTTTAAAGGTTATACTTTTTTTGAAAAAGGTATTCATTTAAAAAATAATTTTAAAGTCACTATTAATATCCCAAGCCCTCAGGAAAAAAAAGCTTATAAAAATTTAACCAGTTGGGAATCTTAAAGTAAATATTTGTAGTAGCAATCATAATTAAACCTATAAACACAGATAATTTTACCAGTATGTAATTATTATATGAACAGTGAAATCATATTTTTTAAAATGGAATATGAATAAAAAGGATGCATTTCAACCCTCTGCGTATGGGTCTTGCGATTTGAGCGATGTATTAGTTTTGTTCCCGACTACGGTCACGTAAAATTCGTGTGAGAAGAATTTTTTTCTCCTTGTTTTAATACTGATTCTGCTATTTCCCCGTGTAGGTTTAAAAAAAAACATCATTTGACGCTTATTTTCGCTGATAGATGGCACTAGAGGGTTCAGGAATTTTTTACTCTTGCTTGATCCCCCCCCCCCGCATATTTGTGAGTTTGCATGCTTTTTTTCTTCTTTCAAGTGAGAAGCAGTTATGAAAGACAACCGAAATATCTTAATTATGTAGACAGTGATTTGGATTCAGAGTATTCCATAAATTTGGGCATTTTTTTAAAAATTTTTTTTTGTTTTATTCGGTAACATTTGAGACAAAATGTTTACAAATTATATTCATCTGAAAATAAAAATAATCACATGAATTTTTTCACTTATAACTGAAATAGAAAATTATATATTTCTTGAATACGTAAAAGCCATTCAAATTCATGTATTATTTTAAAACAACTGATGAAGACGCATATGTAGATTAAAAAAAAATATTTTAAAAAATTGCCCCGTATTTTAGGACCGAAAGTATAAAAACTGGGCTGGAGGGTTAAAAGGGATGGATAGTGCTAAATAAATATCTTACTTAGGCTTGTGTCCAGTAAGAACAGCGACAAAATCTATGAGATAAGCAGGGATGTGGTGGTAAAGTAAGACAGAGAGATAATTCCAGAGCTTGCTATTAGTGAAGCTGCCATTAGGATAAAAGTAGACCTCATGACTCGGATGTCTTAGAATTAATGGAATGGCTAAACGTTCAACAGTGCCCCAAGTCAATTTGTTGGTGCTACCAGATGAACAATTATACACTAAAATGCTATTAGGTCTGAAATAGAGAAAAATCATTTTTAAGCATAACTTTAAATGCATTGAGAATGTTAATTCCATAAAGATCTTAATACAGCCCAATCCATTCCTGGGGACCGAAGCAATGGCTATACAATAACGAAAATTAAGGATAGTATAAATATAAACACAAGTTTTGAAAGAGCAGAGGCAAAATAAAATGAGAAAATAAGAAGAGAGTAAAAGTCAAGAGGGTAAAGGAAACATTCTCCTTTGTTGCTACTCTTCAGAAATAGAATATAATATTCTATCACCATTTTTATATATTTTTGTCACACATAACAACTGGGCCATTTTTTTTATCTTCTATTCATAGTAAACTGTTCCTTAACCCCTTTCAAATCATCCAAATTGTCACTTATATTTCTTTCTTTCCAAAAATTTATTAATGTCAATTCAGGAGCCATGATGGCTATGGGGATAGAGTACTCGCCCCCTAATGAGGTGAAGGGGGTTAAAATCCCAGTGATAACTGGGAGATACAAATTTTGCATCCAGCTTGCACCAACCACAGGACTGACATAAAATATCCTCAGTAGTAGACGGATCATGGGTTAGAGTCTCCTTGCCCTCAGGCTAATCATGGAGGTTTTCCTATCCATGTAACGCAAATGTAGGTTAGTTCCATCAAAAAGTACATCACATAGGCAAATTTCTCCCAATATATTTGATCCACGAGTTACCTTGTCTTCTGGATTGAAGTCAAAATGACAAGGCTACGGAATTGATCATTAGTAGTCGTAAACCTTAAATTGGGTCGGCTGTTCAACAACGGCTATAAAATAAAATGTCAATTCAGATGTCTCATTTCAAATCAAAACCTCAAGAACAAAAAGCCATCAGACTGACTATGTAAATGTATTCAGGGATAGAAGAGCCTCATAATTATACCACAGCTGAAAAAAGATGTTTTAGAACATGTAAATTGATTTTTGGATCCAATATAATTCTTATATTTGGGGCAATAAAGTGCATTTGAGCATGCAAATTCGTATTTTATATTATATTTAACAGAGCTCAGAAAAAAATGTGTTATTAAATAGAAAGGATGTAACAAAAACACAAATAGTTACCTAAATAAATATATAACTAGAAATATTTAATCAAATGTGTTTCATTCAGAAATAAAATCTAAAAAAGCTTTTGATTCCTGTAAATCATAGTTATTTTCCTTTTTTCTAGTTACATATCATTTTTTGGCAATTTTCATAAGGTTTTTCCTATCTTTTAAATAGGGTGTCATTATAACACGATTAGTTTGAATTTCAGTTTTTACTTCTTTACTAACTTGATTCGCTGAAACTCCATTTAATTAATACTATGTAATAACAACACGAGAATTTTGATTCAGATTAAAGAATATTTGCCAAGTATTTATTCAAAAATCACTCTTTGACCTATTTTATTTTGATGCTATTCTACCTTTGGCCATTTAACTTGTCTTTTCTCGTTGGGATATTTTAAATACAATGTCTTTACAACATGTATTTCAAGTTTTGGGTACTGCTTTATGACATGCTCTATTTACAGGGTATATGCTACATTTTAGATTTTCAAATTCATGACTAATTCCAAGAATTTTTCACGACTTAATGAAATTACTATTTTCTCCGACAAAAACACAACAATAAATTTAAAAAAGCATTATAATAACATTCCCTGAAATGATAGGTGTAGCGTATCTACCACTACAAAGATACGATTCCAATTCACTAGTATATAAGACATGTTAACTCGATTCTATGAAGGAGCACCTTTACATAGATGACGGTTGACATGGTCAAAAGCTACTATCCCCACATTGGTGAACTTCGGACGTGATGTGAACACGCCTATGTTGGTAGAAATGCTCACTCGATAAGAACAAGCCTATCTTGACAGTAACGCCCACTTTGATCTGAACACGCCTGCTCGATGGATGGTCCACATTGAACTGACTTGCTACTTGTGACTGTGACATTATCCCACCTCTTCGCGCTGTTGCTACTCAGTCTCAATCACATACTTGACTGCTAATGGCAACACAGGAGCGACAGCAAAATTAATACAGCTCTCACGATCAGCACTCAAAATCCGAAAAAAATACTGATTTTTCTGATCTCATTTCAGAATTTAAAAAATTGGCCAATGACTGGCTTGCTTTAGCTAAAATTTTAAATTGATAAAATAAAAATAAAAAATAACACAAATTCTGAAATCACTTAAGTTTAAAAGATAAGTGATGTTTTTTCCTTCATTTTTTGAAATAACACCTTAATTTTTAAGTAATTAATAAAAACATTTCAATAAAATATGACTGTTGATGGGGATTTTGTTACAAATTCAGATATTCAGAACACCATGAAATTGGGGGATTGGTAAATTTCATTTTAAAAATTAGATTTTTTAGCGACCTAAATCCATGACTTTTCATGATTTTTTTTTTAAAAAATGGCTAAAATCACAACAAATTTTGTTCAATACCGAAATTCATGACTTTCCAGGTGTGTGGATACCCTGTATTTATGACAATTCTAACAACAAAAAATCCTTATTTATATATTTTTTCTTCCTAATAGTTTCTTTCCAATTTTGATAATTTTAACACAACATGACAACTGATTTTTTTATGCAGAAATTTGCCACCCAGTTGGGCCAGAGTTGTACTGTTCGCTGGATGAATATTATAAGAGTTTTGGAGCACAATTTTGGGGAAAAAAAAGACAGACTTTTTTGGGTGCAGAGTTGCACAGCTGTTCCAACCCTGAGCATTATGATTCAAAATGAATGTTTTCAAGTAATTAATGTTCTGTATTTTTCCAATTTGTAAAGAAAAAAAATCCCAGCATTTTCCCTGTGGAGTGGCAAATCTTTTATATGGCCTATGTTACACTTTTGCATCTGTAGTAAGCAGATATTTTATATTTTGTTTAATATAAAAATTCTAATTAGGTTTAAAATTTTTTTTTGTTAAACCTAAAATTTAAACTTTTAAAATAATATTTAAACCAACATGTACAGGGTAAGTAAACAAATTATTCAAAAAAAAAAAAAAAAAAAAAANAAAAAAAAAAAAAAAAAAAAAAAAAAAAAAAAAAAAAAAAAGAACCTTTTAAACATTTTTTAAGCCCTCAAAAAATATTTTTAAGCACTTTTAAAAAATATAATGAGGCAGGGTTGGAAAGTTTTTGACAATTTACGGTTTTATCTTGTTTTAAAAGTCACGTAAAAAAAAAAAAAACTTTTGGCATTGTGTTAGAAAATTGTCAAAAATCATAAAATTTAGAGTCATGTAAAAGGAATGGCGTTTCCACGCTACAGACTGACAATACGCCAAAATAATTTGGGGTTGAATTAATTGTGAAAATGTTGAATACAACAATGTGAACTGTTTCTTTTTGCATAATTCGCAGCGAAAGTCAGCATCGTAAAGGAAAAATCCCATTTTCAAAAACGGGAAAATTAAGCACTTTTTAAAACACCCAATAAAAAAAGCACCTTTAAGGGCTTTAAAAATATTAAAATCGAAAATAAGCACTTTTTAAAAATGCTACACACCCTGGTATAGTTACTATCCTGTAATTATACGATTCTTTAAATAAAGCTCTTTTTTCTTTCTTTCTTTTTTTTTGTCAGGTGGTACAAATTTCATTGAGTACTAATTTAAAAGTATATTTAAAAAAAAAATACATACCTATGACTAGCAGTATACCATGCTACTGTAATGACTAGATTAATAACAACATCAACAGGTATTAAATCAGCTATGCTGGATGATTTACAATGCATGGATCTTAAAATTCCTTTACTTGTCTGGAAAAAAAAATAAAATAGTTAAAATATCCATTTTTGAAAGCAAACACAATAAAATTCTAAAACATTATGCGGATAAAATGTTAGATAACATTAGAAAATTTTCATTTCTAGAATGTCAATGGTTAGCTTATTTTTATATTTTTTACAGATCACTAAAGAAGATTACTTTTTAAAAGCAAAGAAAAAAAAAACAGGACAAGCTGCAGAAGTACTTACCAGTACATCAGATAAAATGAAATAGGTAAGAATTTATGAAAATATACAAATAGAATCACTAAATAACAATTAGTTACTGTCTTCATTTTCATAAGGGTCACACATCAAACGCCCTGTTTCCATGACAGTTTTTCAAGAACAGAAAAAAATACTAAAATCTTTACTTAAATAATGTTCTCATTTACTTATGCTTCAATGCTTTACAGTTTGTGGGCTATTTATCATTAAAGTTTATTCTGATGCTTTGTGGGCATTTTTTTCTTGTGATAAAATGGTTTAAAATATTTTAGTACTTTTAATTTCATAAAATTCTCCAAAATTTAATTTGTCCTAATTTAATAAGATTTTACTTCGCACAACCATATCAATCCATTTTCAAACGGCATCTCAATATGCTTCTCTTCAAATCAGGGTGCGTAGCCAGATTTTTCAACAAAAAATAAGCAATTTAAGTATTTTTTAAGCACTCAAAAATATTTTTAGTAACTTTCCAAAAAAAATAATAATAATAATATTAATTAGGATCTGTGCAGTAACAAAAATTAGTTTTTTCTATTGTTTTAGGTCATTTATTTATGAACATAAAATCAATAAAATTCAAAAACATTTTCAAAAACTTTACATAATCATGATAAAATAACTAGTTTCTGATGAATATTGAGAAAACCATGCATTTTTGTAATTTAAAATGACACGGCAAAGAGGGAAAAAAACTCTTTTTAAAAGATAGAAAATTAAGTACTTTTAACAAACTCCGAATAAAAAAAGCACCTTAAGGGCTCAGATTTTATGTTGTGGTGGTTGAGGTTTCTGTAGTTTGTTCTGTTCCTTTTCACTTTATGAGCTGAATCTTTTGTGCTTAAGTAAAATCAATTAAATTTAGACTTGGAGGTTGGGCAGCTCCAAAGAGCAGGGTACATCGACCAGAGGTCTATTGTACCTGAACCCTAAATCATGATTAACAAGAAAGCCTTATAGCTGAAATGAAGTTCAGCAAACACCTGACTGGAACGTCCTGCAGTTCCCAGGCCTCAATGCAATGTTGACCTAAATGCCCAAATCTTTGAGCAGAATAGACCTTCCTCAAACTGTTCCTGTTTAGCTTAAGGAGTTCTTTAGCTTGTCTCTGACCATTCGACTTGCACCATTGCTCATGGCCAATTTTGCCATAGAGCTTGAATATAGATGCTCTGAATGATGTGAGAGAAAATCCCAAGGCTGGTTCAGGGCTCCAGAAAATCCCACTAGAGTCAGCCCACGCTGCTTCATCAGCCAACTCATTTTCAAGAATGCCCATATATTCAGGTACCCAATGTAGGTATACCTTATTATGAATAGAGAGGTCAAAGAGGACCGAGAAGCACTCTCATACTAGTGAGGAGGTGAATTTACACCTTCATAGTGATAGGAAAGCAGGCTGACTGTCAGAACAGATGTGGATAGGCATATTTTGATATCCTCTGTCGAAGCATATCTTGCAACACAAGATAATGGCATAGACCTCAACCTGAAAAACGGTGGAATAACTAAGTAAGAGAAAATGAAGTTTGGTACCATCACTGGAGCAATAAATTCCTGCCCCTGATTTAGGACCAATCCTCGAGCCACCGAGAAGAATTAAGCCATTCATCTCTAGTAGGAAAATGGATCTTGAAGAGCCTGTGAATATCTTAGTGATATATAATCACTAGTCAAAGAGGAAATATCCAACACTTGCAAAACAAGGTGACCCCATGACAAATGTTTGGAATATTCCTTCCATAAGCCAAGGTACATAAGAAGCTTAATACCAGTTTGAGCTTCAACTTCAATGGTTCTCTCCAGAGCAGCTATGGGAGTGGTCCTGAGACAGCCTGACAAGGCTACGCAGACCATTCTTCATAGTCTGTTAAGACTAGATCTGATGGAACTCATCCTAGACCACCAGACAATTAGGATAATAGGACTAATAATCATTGAGAACATCCAGTAAACTATCTTGGGGGATAATCCGCAAGTTTTACCAATAGCACTTCTACAAGATCAGAAAATCTTTTTGGTCCTGTGGATACAATATTCTAAATGATAATCCCAGTTAAGTTTGGAGTCATACTAAACCCTGAGAATTTTGACATTCTCAGTGAGTTCTAACCTATAGTCTAGGTGATACATATCACCTAGATTAAGACACCCTTTTCTGGTGAAGGCTGCAAGACTAATCTTGGAAGGGTTAATAGATAAGCCAGAACACCATCTAGCTACTTTTAGAAGTGCACCATCATCAGCATACCCAACACAGGGAATGCCAAGATTGGTAGAATCAATTAAAAGTAGAGTGCAATTTTTGAAAACTTTTGTTTAAGATGATTACTATACAAAATTAATTCTGCTTTACCAGCTTATTTACGGAAACCGATTAAAAATTAAAATGCCTTAAATTGCGAATTAATGTATTTTCCTACAAATTAGTAACAATAATAAATTTGAAAATTTTAAGATGAATTTAACATATATGATACTCATTTAGAATATAAGATAATGAAATAGAAAAGTGACACAAATTTAAACTTTAAGGAGGAAAAAAAAATAACATTCAGCCTCAAAAAAACAGCTTAATTCAATAAAAATAAAAACACATGATTTTTAAAACTAACTGAAATACTTACAGCAACAATAAGGCCAGTTGGTCCATTAAAATTGTCTACCCAACCCTAAAAATAAAAAGAGAATGTTTCATTCATTTTGATTGTTGATAAAAAAATATTTTAATTGAAATGAACCTTTCTATGTAATATACAGTCTAGTCTCAATAGTTAGAGGTGCAAGGGATTGAGATTACCTCAAATTTTCAAAAATATATTATATTTACAGAAAATTTACTCACATAAGAGCATCAGGATACTTCTAATGCATCATCTTCTAAGCTTTAAAATAATTGTCTAACTTTTTAAAAATGTTTTATTTAATATACACATTGTACAATTGTCCAGGTAGCATCTTGTTCCCATTACTTGCTCCACATATTGGTTTGCAGAGCAGGAAGACCCTTAAAGTTACTCATTGGTTGTATGGAATCGGCCAGATTTTCCTGTCCTTTATCATTTCTCCAATGTCACAAAGTCCTCCATGTTCTCATAACAAATCATACCTCTGGAGGTACTGATCCAGGAGTTTGTCTTTTGGATTGGTTCAAAATTCCAAGGCTACGGAGTTAAAGATCAGTGGTCGTAAACCCAGAATTGAATCGAGAGTTCAACGAAAGTTATAAAATAAAATTTTGTTCTCATCAAGCTCCTGTAATGGTATCCTCTTACGTATATTGTAGAAGATATTGCAGCAACTGCCGTAGGATTCCACAGGGTGTATTACACTTGTGATTTTTGCAGTGTATCTATTAAATCTAGTTCCATGACTTCTACCAAACACTTTCCATGGGTAAATACACTATTACTCAATTAAGACATAAACGAGTATAACTTTCTTTTTCAAAAAGAATATTGTTTTATCTACTTTGCACACTTTTTTAATTAGCCAATCTAAGCAGATGCAATAAAAAAACACTAAACTATTAAACAAACTCAGCAATTAGCTCTAACAATGCGTGATTTGTAAACTATTAGAATGAAAATTGTGAGGTATGATTCTGAAATTACTTAAATACGTATCACGTTATATGATTCAGAAATAACTTTAATTGAAATCATGATGTGTGAATCCTGATGAGTAATTTGCAAATCACTTTAAAGTAATATTCAATATGTGATTCATTAATCACTTTCATTTAAATCGCAATTCGTAGAACATTTTATATCAATTCCGATCTGTAAATCAAGAATCAGTTTAATGTAAATCACAATGTTTATTCATAATCAATAAAACCTGTAGAATTAAATTTTATTGATTAGCAGTAACAACTAAATATTAAAATTTGATTATAAATGATAAAAAATTAATTATCCCTTTGTAGGAAAATTAAAATAACAAATAGGATAACTAGGATAACAATATTAACCTGTCGTAATAACACATTGAACATATTTCTAAATTGATTAAACACCATATATATCATTCGAAAACTATGACGTCAAAACCCTTAAATTTGCAAGAAATTTCAGCTTTCAAAACATCAGAGAAATGAACAATAATCTGGTGTGAAAAATCTAGGAGAGAAAAGTTTTGCATCTTCTTTAACCTCTTTTCACTTCAAGAATTAAAAATTGCATCGATCAGAATTTCTATAATCTTCCTTTGAATTTTATTATTTTTTTAACTGCTTTTTTGTAAGAACTATTAGTATTATTTTAATTCCTAAAAAATCAAGTACTTTTCAAGTACCCTATGGCAGAATTCAAGGACGTTTCAGGGTTTGTTTACAACCCTGTCAGCAACCCTGTTTAATCTCTTCTTGCTTATTTGTGTCTTGGAGCACTTCTCTTTTCATGGTTTTGATGATGATCATCATCATAGTTGGCCAGACAGCCCAATGTGAGCCAATGCTTTCCTCAGAAAATTTCTCTATGACAACTTCCAATTTATCTCTGATCTCCAATTATTTTCTGTCCAAAGAAAAATTTAATTCTTTTTCTGTTCAAAGAAAAATTTAATTCTTTTCTGTCCAAAGAAAAATTAGAGTACTTATCAGTAGAATACACTTCTTGCAAGAATTTTTTTTAAAANACAATAATCTGGTGTGAAAAATCTAGGAGAGAAAAGTTTTGCATCTTCTTTAACCTCTTTTCACTTCAAGAATTAAAAATTGCATCGATCAGAATTTCTATAATCTTCCTTTGAATTTTATTATTTTTTTAACTGCTTTTTTGTAAGAACTATTAGTATTATTTTAATTCCTAAAAAATCAAGTACTTTTCAAGTACCCTATGGCAGAATTCAAGGACGTTTCAGGGCCCTGATTTTTTTTTCAACAAAATTCAAGGATTTTCAAGTACTGTGGGAACCCTGTTTAATCTCATCTTGCTTATTTGTGTCTTGGAGCACTTCTCTTTTCGTGGTTTTGATGATGATCATCATCATAGTTGGCCAGACAGCCCAATGTGAGCCAATGCTTTCCTCAGAAGATTTCTCTATGACAACTTCCAATTTATCTTTGATCTCCAATTATTTTCTGTCCAAAGAAAAATTTAATTCTTCTTCTGTCCAAAGAAAAATTAGAGTACTTATCAGCAGAATACACTTCTTGCAAGAATTTTTCTTTTTAATTTTTATTTTATTTTTAGAATTGATCATAAAAATGCAGATTTACAAACGAGCTAAAAATTCTTTAAAGCACAACTAAAAATTACAATCACAAGTTAAAATAAAAGACTTCCTTGATTCCTTATTATTAAAAGAACGTGAGAATTGATATTTAGAATGTAGATGCAAATGAATGTGGAATGGAATGAAAGTTTGTTTAACAATTCTTTTCACCTTGACCTTTTGCAAGTCCTTTACCTAGCAAACAGTTTTCTTAAGGAAGGGGGATTCCTGCTAGTGGTTTTGGAGGTGTGCAGTAGACTCTGTGAACAACAATAAAAACAAGTTGTAGTAAATGCGTTGGTTATTATTTGGGAGCAATACTGATTTCCCCACACACACTTGTTTTCATTATTGGGAAACTGGAACTATCGAGACTTTACTATAAATGACTTCAAAAATATGTACCACAAAGCTTATCATTCATGGAATTAATACAGATTTGGTAGCTTTTACTTAAAATACACATTTCCTTAAAAAAAAAATATGTTTTACAAATATCAAAATAAGATGCTCAAAAACAAAAAATTTTGTGGACACAAGAAAAACCTTACTTTTTCTTGTGATTTTGTTCACCTCATTTATATAATATTTGAAGCTTATTGATGTTTCTTTTCAATGTAGCATACTCTAGACAATCTTTCAAACTATTTCAACTGTTGGTTCAAGCCAACATGGTTATATGTATGTTTGTAAAAAAATATGGTTTATAGCATGCAGGTACACAAAAACAATGGCAATACTAGAAAACTTCTCTGCATAGTTTATGTGCATATGTTCATAACTAATTTGAGAAAAACTCAAAAAAGGCACCAAAGAGCATATTTGTGAGAGCTACTGTGAGAAAAGAAAGATCCTGAATAACTTTCGCTCGAATAATCAGATTTTCACGTATTAAGTGTCAATCTTAATGGTTTCTGGGGGTGACTTCAAATATGCTAATTAATTGGTGCAACTATTAATTAGTTATAAAATCAGACACAAAAATGCAAGTTTTCTGAATAAACATATATATATTTGTACATATTTGGATTCCTGACAATCAAAATAGGTAGACAAAATTTCGAAAAGATTGGATCATAAATTATAAGCTATATATATATTTGCCCAAAAAACAAGCGAATGAATATTTTAAAACAAATTATAGAGACCTAATTTTACTCTGTTGCTAAGCAAACAAGTTCTGATAATAAAAAGAAATAATGTTCTGTGATTGCTCAGAAAGTTTTATTTATTAATAGTTAATAGAATATATCTCAAAGTTTCTAGGCAAGACGATTTCTAAGCTGATTTCTGTACAAAAAGCTCATTTCTCTTTAATTTCCTTTGAAAAGAAAATTTAGATCGATTTGTAAATTATTTATGATTTTTTAATCTGACATTAATTTGGTTTTTTACGATGTTTTTACTTCATTTATACGAGGATTTCATACCAAAATCAAATTTACGTAACTTATTATAACTATTTACAAAATTTTAGAGGTAATCCTCTTTACAACTTTAATCAAGTCTTCTAGGCAAGAAAGTTTAAAGAAATAAAAATGATGCTACAGTTTTCTAACCTTTTTAAAGACCATATGAATCCTGTTAAAATATTAAAATTCATATGCTTACTTTTACGAGAATATAATCCTTATCAAAATAGTGATAAAAACTAATCTGGCTTCAAAAAATAGGAAGAGGGAAATAAAAGTTGACATGTCTCGAACGTTCAAATATAAGGGCTCATTCTTGAGAATCGTCAGCCGTGAGTGAACAGTGAGGTTAATTATTGAATTCTCAAAACATGTCTGCTTTTATTATCTATTATTTTTTAAATCAATGAAGTTTACATCTTTTTAATTCAGTTTATTGGGATTATTCATTTAGTAACAAAGTATAATAAATTACTTCACGCAATATTAAAATAAGTTTTATGTAAGATAAAAGGCATAGGTTCTTAGATTGAAAAAATAACTCGTCACTATTTTTAAAAAAAATCAATGCAGTACAATTACTTTTTACTGCTACCCTCAATAGACTTTTAAAGGACACAAAAAAATTCCATTTACAAAATTTCAAAAGTTGAATGCGAAAATGGAACATATGCTTAAAAATATTAAATAATTTGCTTAATAATAAATTATTCAAATTATGATTTAATGTATTTTAGTACAATAGTAAATGGGCTTTCATCGCATATCCTTAGTCTTGATAGCGCTATCATTAAGTTAATTAAACTTGATAAATAATACAAAGTAAGGTAAGACAACGTTTAAGAGCACAAAAAATATATGAAATGCAGACAGCTGTTTCGGATGCTCAAAGGATGCTTCTGTTGCACTGATGAAGGTTGTCCTTTGAGCATCCGAAACAGCTGTCTGCATTTCATATATTTTTTGTGCTCTTAAATGTTGTCTTACCTTACTTTGTATTTTTGCACAAAGGTCACCCTTATGTGTATTTTTGATAAATAATAGTTAAAAACTTTCTTCTCGTTTTAGCTTTCAAGCAATACTTTGTTTTATCAATTCTGGAAATAATGAAATTATTGAGTCAGTTTCTTGGAGCAATGTAATTTTATCCTCGTGACGAAATATAGGACTAATTCGTATTCACAGTTTCTGAAAAAATATAACCGCCTCGCTACTTGTTTTTTCCTTTCTCAAAATTTCGAAAATTGAGTATTTATCACATTATTTAAATGAGTTGATTCTAAAATCTTTGTACAAATCGGAATCTTTTTACAAATTTCAATTTTTAGTTTTTTTTTTAACAAAATAAAACATTTTTCTAATAACAAATTATGCTATAATAATATTAGGGAAATTGTGCTAAAGTTGAAAAAATAATTTTAATAAAAGTAAATATTTTCAATATATTTTTTTAAAAGAGCAACTTTCCCAAAATTAACTGTGTAATATATAAGTTTAAATGTCAAAATAAAATTTCAGTTCAAATTTGATCATTCAAAAAACAAAGCCAACAGTTGTGGTTTTTTGAATTGCACTAATATGTATTTACTTTTCACAAACCAAACAAATAAGAAAGAAAAGTAAATAAATAAATAATTTGTTCGTTCAATCTTAGAGAAAAGGGTTCACTTATTTGCTACGATCAGTCCGTTTTGCACTGAGTAATTTTAACAAAGAAAAGCTAACTGGCTATAGTTCTGAGGCTCGGAAGAAAAAACAAAAAACAACGTAGCAATTACTTTAAATGAGTGTTAATTTAAAGAAAAACTTTAAATACCAATAAAAATTAAACAAACTAGTTTAGTATATTATAGGAAAAAATCTATGTGGTAGCATAAAGGGTAAAAAAATATAATAAAATAATTAGGTCTGTAAATCACACTGGGCCAGGTAACCAAAAATTTAATTTCAAAATTAAGATGTTAGGCATTTAAGATACTGAGATATTTCAAGACACTTAGCTTTGGTTATATATTCAACATCTCTTTATGTTCAGTATGTTTATACTCCTTGTAGTGACTTATAAATCATCAACACTATTTTAGATAAGTTATGAAGTCACAAGAAACAATAAAAAGACAATCAATAATTTATTGTCATTTTTTGAAAAAATAGTATACCTAGTAAATAGTCAGCTGTTTTGCATCGAATAATTTTAAACAGCAGAATGTTTTTAATTTCTTAACAAGATTTAATTCTTAGCTAGCAGGCAATTAATTCTAAGTTTTCTTTTAATAAAAACTTGACAAGAATTTTAAAATTTAATTAAATAGTTGATAAAATTGTTCCGCAAAACACGTTTAGACAGGTAATTAAAACATTTATTTTAAGATTAAGATGATCTATGACATGTTAAGAAATTTTAAGATGCTTAAAAATTTTGACTATGCTTTCGAATAACTAATTTCAAAATATCTATTGAAATTGATACACATATCATTCCAAATCTACGCACATATATGTATATTATTGAAATTGTATCAAATATTGAACAAAATAAACTAAAAAGTAAAACATAATCACATTCTGATAACTAAAAACGCAAAAAGTGAAATTAACATTTAGGGGTCCAAACTTTGGATTGCTCTCCAGACCAAACTATGGGGACTATATCCCCACTATATTTTGAAGTTTAAGAATCCAAATATGTAAAATAAAATATATGTTAATTCAAAGAAAATATATTTTGGTATCCAATTTCATAACATAATTAATAGTTAGCACTAAATACTAATTAGCATATTTGAGGTCACCCCCAGGAACCATTAAGATTGGCACTTAGTATGTGAAAATCAGATCATTAGAATGAAAGTTATTTAATATGAATATTTTTTTGCGCACTGTACATAGTCAAATTGTTAGGAAGTTAAAAGCAAGATGAGCATAAATATTTTTATTAAAGAAGTTTTTCTTTTCTCTATATGTGTGACACTACCCCCATCAAACTCTAAAAATCTACACCTTGAATTGTGATTTAACTGATCTTGGTTTTAAATCTTACGTTTACATCTTTTTCAAATGATATTTAAACAAAAGAAGTTTTGATATTAAATGCCATGTATATATATATATATGTATACATATAAAAATAAAAGAAGTTATGACAAAATAAAAATAAAAACATTAAAATTTAATTTTTTAATTAATCTAAAACTAGAACTAAAAGAACATGAGGAAATGATGATAGTAATTGAAAATAAAATCTTTACCGGAAAAGGTTCTTTCCAAGCTGCAGTCACAATCGAAGGTCTTACGATAGCAACGGGAAGAGCTCCACTCTCCTCTACAAGCAGCGTTTCTGCTAATGCTTTTGTATAAGTGTAAGTATTTGGCCTCCCCCTCAACAAATGAGGAGTCAAAACATTCACAAGCTCCTCATCCATCCACCTGAATAACAATCATTAAGCATATAGGACTCTTTGAAAAAAGAGATACTCAAATAAGTGTATGTAAAATATGGTGTTTTTTAAAGAAAAAAATGAAAGGAAGGACATCATTTCTAGAGCAAATTATCTTTTAAACTTTCGGGATTTCTGATTTTTTGATTTTAGATTATGCATTTGAAATTCCAGCTGAAGCCAGTTATTACGGACTATCTTGTTAAATCCCAAATGAGAATTGAAAAATCATGATTTTTTCTCTCCTCTCTGATGAGCAAAAAAGACATCTTTGAAAAAACATTTTTTAAAAATTATGCAGGAAGGAAAACCAAAGTTTTTCCCTTCACAAAAAAAAACATTTTTCTGCAAAAACTTTAACGTTCTTCGACAATGTCGCCGTAATTCAGCCAAGGAGGGGGGGGACTCTATTTATTAGTTTTAATTGCTGGAAAAACTTAAAGGAAAAAAAAAGGAACAGCTGAACATGCTTAAATATTGCACATTCATAAATGAAATAGTTTAGTATAGCTGAAATATCATCCTTAAATATCTCATTGATTACACTTTGAGTGGTCGCCATTTTTTAAAAGAGGAAAATAAGAAACTAAATTCCCGTTATTTTCCATATTTTCCCCGTGGAGTGGCACCCCTGATAAACTAACCTTTTTTCTTTTATTCAGATTTCTGACCTTCAAAGCTTTTAACTGGAAAATAAGGTCCAAAATTTCTTACCCTTTTTGTTTTATTAATACCTTTTATCAGTTGGAATGCATTTTATGTATTTTTTTTAAAACTCATTTCCCCATAGGCTGATCTTTCTGTTTGTATTTCCTTGTAATTTTATTTTATAAATGATTTCATATTTTGCCAAAAAAATCCAGTAGATTTTACAAAATATAAATTTTATGATAATTATTGCATAATGTACTAAATATTTTACACAAAGGAGATTTTTAGGTTTCAGCATAGTACATATAGTTTCTCATGATATTAGAAAACAACAAAAAATAAGCTATTTCGTTTCTTTATTTGCTTTTCCTTGAGAAGTGTTTTGCATAAAATTTTCTTAACATTTTTGTGTAAAAGGTCTATATTTGCCTTATTTCGCTTCCTTGGAAAAAGCTTTTCACTTTTTTACCTAAGTGGCAATATTTTTTAAAAAAACATTATATACAATAAATAATTTCTAATCCTTTTAAGATGAAAGGTTTTTAGTTCAAAAACTTTTGTGACAATAAAAAAAAAAATTCGACACAATGTTGCCGTAAGGTTACACGCTTTCTGGGATTATAATGAGGTCCTTTCTTTACATATCCATAGCTGTCAACATGAATAGAAAAAAAAACCAGAAGATTTTAATATAAATTTCACAATAATTGTTGCATAATGTACTAAATATTTTACACACAGGGAATTCTAGGGATTTTACAGCCATCAAAATAGAAAAACTGCATTATTTTCCAGTCATGATAGGCATAAAATATGCTTGAAATGTAGTGTATTATGTTTACTCAGAATTCTGAATAGTAATAGGCATTTAATTCATACAAAACAATTAAGATTTTTTTAAATTAAAATGGAGCTCTGAATAAAAATAAACTGAACATTTTAGAAAAAAAAAGTCTTAAACTGATTTCTATAAATGAGGCATGCTTAGTTATATATTAGTAATACTTAATTAAATATTCAAGCAAGCAATAATCTGTGCAAAAATTCTATTTCAATGCGGATTTCTTTAGGAAACTTAGATAACTTTTAGGGAATTTTCCAAAATGTACAAAAACTAGAAGAATTTTCATTAAACCTGTAGAAACTAGCAAAATCCAGTAGAGTTGGCAACTATGCATACAGTAACATCAAAACTCTCATGTTATTTTATTTATGTCAGTCATTATACATTGATATTTTTCTTTATTTTCCATTTCGTTTACAGAGTTGCTCAGCATGCAATGATTTCATTGCTTCAATTTTCTGCTACTTGAAGAAAGATTATCTTCATAAGAATTGAAAAGATAATCAGGGAGGTTTTTTAAACAAAATCGTGCAAAAACTGACCAAGAAAAGAAAAGAAAAAAACATACAAACAACAATCTGGATCATGTTCCTGTTGATATCCTTACGACACACACATTGGGTGATATTAGAGAGCAATTCTTAAAAAACATTTCGTCACAGATAATACTAAACTTTATAGAAAATTGATCAGGGAGACTTTTTTTTGGAAAAGAAAGCAAACAATAAAATTAATAAAAAGTAGATAGGTGCTTTAAAAAAATGTAATAGAAAATATATTAAAAGATACTAAAAACATAACTCACTCAATTGTGTCAATAATTTTTTGAGGTTGAACTGGAGGTTCATAAACAACTTCATCCACTTGTTCTCTGTCACAATTGCAATATGCTGTTGACACATGGACCAATGCCTTAAGAAAAACAATCAAAATTATTATGAAGTACAAAATAAATTAAATTAATAACATAGACACTACAGTTAGAAATATGCTGCAATTTTAAAGGATTGAATAACAAGTTTCCTACAATGTGTATGCCAGAGCTCTAAAATTACATTGCCTGACATGCTTTTTGCACGTAAAAATTCTTGCAGTTTAGATTGAATGTTTGTTAGAACAACGAAAGAAAAATTTATAAGACATAATAAATTGTACATTTTTGTTTTATTTCTCTATCATTTAATACTTAAGTAAATATATTGCTATGGCAATGAACTACAGCAGTACTAACTCATAATGGATCAATATCCCTCAGATATAAATAAAAGAGTAAATTGTGGGTCAAGAATGCACAACTAAGATAATTTAATGATAATTAGTCTTCACTTTTAAAATTTCATTGAAAATTAGAAAAGAAAATTAGTTTTGTACTATACGGTAAATAGTTCTTGAAACACAGAACTGAATTTTAAACAGTGCAATTTAAATAATAAAATTATCAAGAATATAATTTTGATAAGATTTCTCAAAAATATTAGTTTCTCCTTTATTTAAGTCTGATTTAAAAAAAAATAATTGCAATACAAAAAAACAATTTTTTTTCTAAATTGCACTAGTTACTTAAATTAAAATTATGCTTTTTAAAAATGTTTTTTTAAAAAAAAGGATTGCTTAATTCAATACATAAATCTACATAATTTGCAAGATTTCATTTATCAAAAGAAAAAAGAAAATTTGACAAAATGCTACAAACTTCTAAGTGTTCCATTTTATGGCACAATTCAACAAGTCGCCTTGTTCCCAAAACATTCATATCAACAGAACGCCTGAAAATGAAAATACAATTAGAAAGGTAAATAACAAGCTGAAAGCTTAAGTTTAAAAAAAAAAAAGAGTGTCCTTGAAATACTTCTTTTAAATACTCATTTAAAATAATTTTAATATATTATTGGAATTTTTACATTAATAATAAAAAAAATATCCTTGTCTTAAGTATGGTAATTGAAAACCAGAAAAAGTAATTCAGAGAAATAGTGGGGGCAAAAAAATTTGAAAGTGGCTTTGTTTTTAACGTTGATTTTCAAGCAAATTTATAATTATAATTACTGTTAGTAAATTCATGTTCTTTTGTTAAATGCTGTCACGTTATTTATCGCAAGTTAGAAATTTCTTGATTTAAATTTATAATAAATAGACTTTCTTTCACCTAAGTCTGTCTTCAATTGAATCTGCACTTACAAAATGTATTTAAATTACTTCTTTTCGTGCATTTCTATCCTATTCACTCAAACATAGTTTCTGTCCTGTGATTGAAAATGAGCTCTACTATATTATCTGACTTTCCTTTTCATACATAGCACAATAAACTACAGGATTGTCACTTTTTCATAACCCATAAATTATTTATGTACTTTTCTTAAGATTTCCTCTGAATAATACCACCTCCCTACTCACTAACTTCCCTTGCATTATTAATCTATCCTTTTCCGTCCACACTATAATAGATATTATTCATTGAAAAAAAGAAAAAAAAAGGCCATTTTTTTGCTTATTTAATAATTAAATAACAAAAATTGGAGTTGGTAACACATTTCAATTTCACATTGAAACATTTCATTGAAGGAAACAAGGAAGAATCTATAATAAAAGATATTTGCCCTGTACTAAAGCAAGCTTCAATAACACCCATTTAGAAATTAAACAATGTAAATTTGAAGTTGTTGATAATTTCATTTACTTAGGTTCTGTAATCAAAAACAATAACACTATTACAATGGAAATACAAAGAAGAATTACTATAGCCAATAAATGTTTTAATGGAATTCAAAAATACATAAAATCTAATGTAATTCATAGACGATCAAAAGTTTTATTATGTAAATCTCTTTCAAGATCAATTTTAACATATGCTTATGAAACCTGGACCATATCTCGTACGAATGAGGCTATGTTGGGTACCTTTCAGAGAAAGATATTGAGAAGTATTTTAGGAGGAATTTAAAAAAATGGTGAGTGGCTTAGCAGATCTAGAGCTTTATCACTCATATAATGAACCTGACATTATTAACTTTACTAAACGACAAAGAATAAAATGGTTAGGCCACATCATCAGAATGGACGAAGACTGTACCACAAAAAGAGTTTTAAATGCTAGACCAGTAGGCGCACGAGAAAGAGGCAAGCCGAATTTCAGATGGATAGATGGCCTAGAAAAATACATTTTGGTCTTAATAACTAAAAACTAGAAAACACTAGCAGGAAAAAGGTTTGCCTGGAAGAGGCCAAGGCCCACCCTGGGCGGTCGAGCCATTGATGATGATGAGTTAACAATTTTTTAAATCAGTTTATAAATTCATTATTGCAGTATTTTAGTAACAATATTTTCTATTAATAGTATTTTATTAACAACATGTTATTTGTTGCTCAGCTCCAAAATTGTTTTTAGCAATCGGCAACTATTTCTTGACTTTATAAACCTCTTTCATTAGCATCCAATAGATTCTTTCTTACCTTCCTCAATGAAGTGTTTCAATGTGAAATTTAAATATTTTACCAACTCCAATGTTTGTTATTTAATAATTATATAAGCAAAAAGTTGCCTTTTTCTCTCTTTTCAAATGAATATGGACTGTTATAGCGTGGACAGTAAAGGATTGATTAATGGAAGTTTGTTTGTTAGGGATATTTAAAAGAAATCTTAAGAGAAGTAAATAAATAAATTGATAATTTACAGGTTATGAAAACGTGACCATCCTGTAGTCTATTATGCTATGTATGAAAGGAGAAGTCAGATGTGCAGGAATAATATAAGCAGAATAGTAGAGTTCATTTTCTATTACAGGTCAAGGGCAAATGGAATAGAAATGCATGAAAAGAAAAGTAAGTCATTCAAATGATTTTTGTGAATGCAGATTTAATTTAAGACAGAGTTTAGTAAAAGAAAATCTATTTATTATAAATTTAAATCAAGAAAAATATCATTGCTATCATGTGATACTTACTTCAACAAGAAAAACACAGGTTTCAGTATGAATGCACTTCATAGCAATGAGGTGCATCATCATTTGCATATTCTTGCTCGTACAATTATGCCAACAAAATTTTAAATAAACATTAATTGAAATTAATTATATATTGACAAGATTTATATTCTCTTTTATTAATCAGCTGTGTTAGGTGAAGGGGTCAAATTGATTATAAAAATAGAGGAATTGAGAGCATTTAATGTGGCAACATGTGGGGTCTCATAACCTGTGTTTTTCACATTTTTTTTTTTTCACTTCTTCCCTTACAAATGACAAGAGACCTTATTGATTGTTTAGGAGTGAAATAGTTTAACAACGTCTTTAGTTATGGATCATAACATACTTTAGAAAAGGTGTACATTACTTTTTTCGGAATTAAATTTTTTTTTAAAATTTAGAAAAATTGGTGTTTGATTTATAAAGATTGAAAACGTGCATGAACCTTATAAATAGATTCATTAACTAAGTTTTAACAAGCAAAAAAAACTTAATTCCCTATTATTTTATTAAATTCCTTATCCATGTATTTTCCTTGTTCTCCATGTGGAGTGTCAACCCTGAAAGGGATAATGAATTTTTGTTGATTTATTAAAATAGAATAAGCTGTAACTTTCATTATTTATACGCTTCCTAGATCAATACAATGCATATTGTCTACAGTTATTAGGTACTTAATAAAGAAAGAACTCACTTCAGTTTTTCATCAAATTTGACTGTGGCAGCCGAGTGAAATACAATGGATACATCTGTGGTGAGAAGCAGCTGATCAGATGAGCTAATTCCCAATCCTGGCAGTGTCAAATCTCCATGAATCGCAATCAATTTTGAGACACTATTGGGCTGTTCTTTCTTAAGACGTTCAAACACCTACAGGAAAATAACTCTTATTAACAACATTTACTGCAACATGATGTCCCCGCAAAATTAGAGAGTTGCATCACATTTAATATTATAGGTATTTCAATTTTCAGACACTATTAGTAGGCTGTTTCCTTTTAAGAAATTGAAACACCTCAGACACATAAACGAAACTTTTGTTAATAATATTTTCTGAAGAGCTATGATTTCTAAAGACATTTAAATAGAATCAGAATTTACTGCAACATGAAAGAGTACACAATGAAATTTTAACAAATACTATAGTTGATCACTACTCATAAAAAAAACAACATGATGAGATATTAGGAACCTCTTGAACAAATATGGTAGAAGCAGGATAAAAACATAGAAATTAAAAAATTATTAAGAGAATTTGTCATTTAATTATTTTTTCTTCATTTAATTAATTCAGATTTTTAAGAAAACTTTTTCAAAGACATTTCTTTTTTATTTTAAGATTTTTTTTTCACTCAGTCTGAAATAAATGTAAGTTATATTCGATATAATTTTATCTGTCATGCATGTTACTCAGTTGCAAGATAAGAAAAAAAAAAACATTATCCCAATAGAGAGAACTTGTTTGCATCAAAATGAATGTCAAGTTTTCAGCATTAACATACATCAACGTCCCCCAAACTATTGACGCATAGCCTTATCGTTTAGCTTGATTTCTTAAAATTGTGTAAAATAAGAAAAAAAACTTATATAATGAAAATTATTGTTTTACTTCCTGCAAAATTCGAGAGTTAAATGACATTTAAATTTTATTGGCACAATTTTTTTAAAAATGAATTATAAAATGCATTTAAAATAAATAAAAATTGCTATTCGCTTATCTCACATTTAATTTGTTACAGGCATGAGAAACATCATTTTTAGTGGTCATATCAATTCAATATTCTTGCAAGATCATATAGTTGTTCCTTTTTCAAGAACATATGTTCTCCTTATTTATCAAAACATGCAGCCATTCAAGGATTCCAGTAAGATTATGAAACTATAAACTGTTGTATTGATTCTGTGATACATATCGAAAGAATAGCACAAATTAAATTTCTGTCTGACGTATTTAACTTTTAGAAGCTTTTATATTGTTTTGAAAGCATATTAGTACAATCTGATAATGAAATAAAACGGAACTATATCGCGGATGATTCATTAAATCCTATACCACAACAGTCTTTTCTTAACTTGCAACGGAGTATAACACCTAATCCCCAAGTTTGGTATGACTCGTGTTCTACAGGAATTCAAATTCAGTTTAATTAATCTAAATAATTAATATTTAGAGTAATAATAACAAAATTAGGATTCAATAATATCAAAGAATACTATATCTAAATCAAATATTTTAAATTAAAACTCATTTCAAGGAAAAATGTATGATTTGTATAAAACAAAATATATATGAGAAGCCTAATTTTTAAGGACTAAGTTACATGTACGTAAAAAGACAAAGTTACTTTTTATAATATACTAACAAGGAAATTTTAAATGGTATATTAAATAATAAATTGAAAATTTTCTCTCAGTTCTACTTACACTAGTTTAGCATTGCATTACTACAAATCAGATTTTTCTGTCCTCCAACATATCATTCCTCAAAATTGTACATTATTTTGATATTCTTCATTATTTGTTGCTTCTTTCCTGTTTATTTTTACATTATTAAGTTTATCTAAACACATTTTACAAATTCATCTCACTAAAGACGAGACCTGATGGAGCTCATCTTAGTTCTAGACCATCAGACAATTGCGCCATATGTAATGTGTGTGATGTGTTTTAAGGTTAATTGGAACCATATTTTGAAGTATAGAATATCATGAGTCTTTTGGCATCATTTAATGAATTAACTGTTTTTGTTGTTATTTAAAAAAACTGTTATTGTTTATGAGCGATTTCCTTCAGTTGTATTAATTGATATCTATGGATATTTACTTATTAAGGTAGGTTGGCTCCTACATGCAGGATTTTTTTTAACAAATGTAGCATAAAATCTGGAATAATTTATTATTGGTATAGGGAATTTTCATGGATCAGCAGAAAATGACATAAGAAGCGGGAGATCGTATGATGTAAAACTGTGGTTCTACTGTGTGTGTGTATTATATGTATCTTAAATAAATATTTAACACAACAGTACAACAAAAAACGCAACTTACCTTTGCTTGCAGAAGTTCTTCTAACCTCTGCTTAGGTTCTTGACCTTTTTTTGGTCTAAGGAGAACATAAATTGTTTTGACAGAATGACATGATCTGAGCAGTTTCTCTACCAAAACCTAGAAACAATATAATATTATAGGTAAAACATTTCACCGATAGGAAATCAATGCTATTAAAAATTAGTCTACATAATTAAGATAAAGAATACAAGTGTTCCAAAACTATTAATGAAATTAATAGGGAAAAGTGGAACCAAAAAAAATTGTAACTTCTGATCAAGAATGCTGGATTTCTTCAGAGACACGAGTAACACTTTTGTATCGCTTGCATGTTGTCTGCCGCACATGTTTGCAGTGAAATCTCTTTCAGGTCACAAGTATTCTGCTAAGTACTCCCATCGATATTTTAATAATGCAAGTGCTTGGTGGTCACAAGAATAACAACTCGCTTAGTTTATTTCCATGGTATCATGTCTGTTTATTTGTGCCCGTTGCTGTTTCTCATCTCGCCTCTTTGTGCGACCAGTTTGAATCTTTGTCGAGTAAAGAGGACTTAAAATCTTTACCCTAATTCGTTGAAATTTCGAAAAGAAAAATAGAAAACTTATTTCTTAGCGAGTCAAATAGCAGTGAACAAGATTTTACGAGGCTCACAATAATTTTCTTAATAAATCATTTTTGTATTACTTTTATAACAGTTCAATAGTTTTGTTACTTCCTGCGAAATATCTCATCAAATACATACGAATATCCTTCGCAAGTAGTCAAATAAGCGTCAGTAAAATATGGGTTTTAGACTGATGTAATCACACTCAATAGTGAATACAACTGTTTCATACTGATGTAATGAAAATTAGTATTTTTTTATAAATTGATAATATCTAATAAATATATAAGAAGTCAACTTTTGAACGAAAGAGTAACAAACTTTCTCTCTTTTACAATCTCTATTCTACAGAATTCATTTTTCTCCCGGCAAAACGAATTCATTTTATATTAATTTTACAAAAGCTTTCCAAACCCTAAAATAACCTTTTTTAAAGTTGGAATTCTAATAATGATGAAACAATTGCAAATTTTGAAAAAGAACTACCAATGTCTGAACTATTCTGTTTTTTTTTTCTTTTTCTAAATTAACTTTTAAAAAAAATGTGCAAAAGAATGGAAAATTTATTGACGAATTTTAGTTCATTAACAAAAACTATTGACACAAAGAAATTTAGTTTTCTAACATAATCATTTATATTTTCATAAAATAGAAATAAACTGTCACCTTGCCCATAAATCCAGTTGCTCCTGTGATAAGGATGCTTCTGTCAGCATAGAAACTTGCGATATTTGACGAGCTAGACTCTGCCATTTTAAATGCTGCAAAACATGGTAACAGTGAATTCTCATCTAAAAAGGTGCAAAATTAATTTAACAAATATGCTTGGAACATTTTTAGATAATACTTCCACAGGGTGCGTGGCCAAATCTATCAACAAAAAATAAGCACCTTTTAAGTACTTTTTAAGCATTCAAAAATATTTTTTAACCACTATATACATTAACAAAATGAAAAATAGTTTTCAAAGACTTTACATGATCATGATAAAATAATCAGTTTTTGACAAAGAACTCTTTTCTTGATTATATTAGACATTACAAAAAGATCAAGAGGTTTTTCTGCTCGTATCAGACGGTGAATAATGAAACTTGAAATTGAGAACATCTAGCAAAATGCAGCTGAGTTGCAATGGAGAGTGCAAGAATCTCACCAAACCCAGCTCAGTATTTCATCAAACATGAATCATGATTGGCGCTTTCATATGTTATGGACCGACTGGAGGCCAAAATAGATTGTGGTTGAGTGATTTGTGAAAGCATAGAATAGATTATTAAAAGCGCGATTTTTCATAATACATGGCGAAAATCGAGGTGGTAAAGAAAAAATCTCCTTTTCGAAAAGGGAAAATTAAGCCCGTTTTAAAAACACCCAATGAAAAAAGCATCTTTAAGGGCTTTTAAAAATCGAAAATAAGCACTTTCTTAAAAATGCTACATATCATGTTCTAAGCTGGTAACATACATATTTCTTTTCAGCAAATTTGTAAAACTTCCTAGGTGGAAAAACCCTTCTCCCTATGTTAGAGGGGGGAGGGAGGAAAATGATGACTACACGATTTATTGTAAACTTTTAAACTATTAAAAAATTCATGAAAGTAAGCACTAAGAACTTTTAATCACCCTATTATTTGATAATTTTTTTAAATATCAAGTAATTTGGCAAAAATGGCACGACACTACGCATCAGCGGGAAAGAAAATGCAAACATTTTTTAAAACACAGGCTGTTGAGTACTATTTTAAGCTCTGTTGTTAAATATACCGATTATAGTGGTAAGATTGGAATGCAATTGAAGTACCTAAAATTTATAAGAGTAATTAAAAGAAATTGCACGCAAACATCCTCTGAAAGAACCATTATTTTGTTGATACTCTCCTGACCACACAACAAAAGCTGTGCCGAACAAAAATTATTACAGTCGAACCTCATTAATGCGAAATCGGTGGGAGTATAATAATTAGTGCACGTTAACCGAATTTTTTTTTATCTGATGCAACATGAAAACAATTTATTACGTATTATTAAGTACTACATTAATGTATGCAAACAATTATAAAACAAACAAATTAAAATAAGCTTTTAAGTTTTAATTACTTAATTAAACTATTTTATTTCTACTATTTCATCTATTTGCTCACCTGCTATTCCTAACAAAGGAAGAAAATAGGAAAAAAAAGTTGTGATCGCCTTATTACAATCACTGGATACCCATTGGTCATTGCTTTTTCTTTCTGGATTGACTCTGTTAAACGCCACAACATTTCCAATCATGGGTTGCAAAAACTGTCTCCATGGATGTTTGTCGTCGAATTGGTTTTCAAATCCTGCCTATGTAAGTTTCAAGACGTCACAAAATACTTTTCCTTCTTCAGCATTCATAATTATATTGAAATCACCGCCAAGCCAGTCATTATATGTTCATAATAACAAGAATATAAAAAATACTTTAAATTATTATTATATAAATACATTAAAAATGCCTGCTAGTGAAAAGATAAAGAAAAACAGCAGCGGTCGCCTTAGGACTGTTTACTGTTACTCTTTGCTTGCGGACTGTTTACTGTTACTCTTGAATGCAGCTGAAACCTTATCAAATCCAAACCAAGACCCATTTTGGCAATGGGTAATAAGCATTCCTCATTGGAATTTTATTCTTCATTCATTACAATAACTCGGTCAGAGCCGCAATGGCTCAGGTGATAGAACGTTCGCCTCCAGTCTAAACAAATTCTACATCTGGCTTGCACAGACCACAGCGCTGACGTAAAATGTCCTCAATGATAGACGGATCATGGGTTAGAGTCCCCTTGCCGTCAGGCTAACCGTGGGAGGTTCTCGTGATCTTGCTCTCCATATAACGCAAATGCAGGTTAGCTCCATTAAAATGTCCTCCACGAAAGCAAATTTCTCCCAAGACTCGATCTAGGAGTTAATCCCTTCCGGATTGGGTACAAAACTACAAGGCTACGGAGTTGAACATTAGTAGTCGTAAACCCATTAAATTGGGTCGGCTGTTCAACGACGGTTATAAAATAACTATCAGATACCTATTATATTATATCATTATACTACCATACCTAATTAATGTTAAGCAATAATCAGCTTGAAAATTTCATTTCAAAAACAATAATTGATTGCTGACTCAGGGGACCAAAGATGTGTTTCACGTAAAGCGGTATTTCACGTTAATGAGGTTCGACTGAGATACATTTCCCATGAAGCTACTTATATTACAGATATTTTATTGCCAGGAGGTGGTCAGACTACCGGCATCATCCTAAAAAGGTGTCACACTTTTAAAAAAATTAATCAGCCAATTACAGAATGACATGTTTTTAAAATAACTTCCCATAATTGTTTTAGCAACTTACCAATCTTTAGTGTAGAGAGAAGGAGACTTTAAATGGCTTCTTAATATTACACATCAGCATACAAGCCCTTCATGCTGAAAATAATAAATATGTCTTTAATTCATCTAGCTGACAGTGTTTTTTTTTTATAATTTTGTATTTTTACAAGATTATAGTTTTATTTCCACTCAGCATAATTCCATAAGCACTTAAATAAAGCAAGTCTGAAGGTGAAAATAATCTTAAATCTAGGTAATTATAAGGTTTTTTTCCCTTTTTTTTGCAACGTCTTGTATGCTCAGATAAAATCCACCTTGTCATGAAATTTAATAGACAATGCAGTTTGATCCTATCGCTAGCATGATGTCACTTTTCAATGATTTTGCACGCTTCTGTTATTATTAATTTCATATTATACTCTTTCTAGCTTTTAGTTCCGGGAAAAAATTATTTCTTTTCTATCCCATTTAGGTTCACACATTTCATTACATTTTCATAAACACATATTTTTAGCTGTGTCTATTTTCTTAAACACAAGTTTTTAGCTGTGTTCAGTATAAAAAAGTACACCGACAAGAAATATTTTCCTTATTTTTCGAATCCAAGTTTTGATTACGTGAAAACCTTAAAAGAAGGTCTTAGCATAGCATAGTTTCACACAACATTAGAAAACTACAAACAAAAGAAGGTATTTCGTTCGTTTATTTGCTTTTTTTTTAGAAGTGCTTTGCACACAATTTTTTTAAAATATTTATTAATATTTTTGCGCAAAAGGTTTATATTTGCATTAGTTCGTTCCCGTGGAAAAAGCTTTTCATTTTGTATTTCTGTTTACCAAAACATGAGAACTATAATAAAAAGGTTTACCATTTTTTTTTCTTCCCTTAGTGGCAATATTTTTTAAAGAAGTTTTAAATATAATTTCTAATCCTTTTAGAATAAAAGGTTTGAAATTTTAGTATTTTTGCTCGACGGAAAAAAGGTTTTTAGTGCAAACATTTTCGTGACAATGAAAAGAAAATTCCGATACAATGTTGCTGTAAGGTCACTTGCTTTCTGGGATTATAATCAGGTCCTTTCTTTACATATCCATAGCTGCCAACATGGATAGGAAAAAAACCAGAAGATTTTACGAAATGTAAATTTCACAATAATTGTTGCATAATATACTAAATATTTTACACATAGGGACTTATAGGGATTTTACAGTCATCAAAATAGAAAAACTGCAATATTTTCCAGTTATGATTGACATTAAATAAATGTGAAACATTATGTATTATGTTTATTCATAATTTTGAACATTAATAGGCATTTAATTCATCAAAGATAGTTAAAAGATATTTTTAATTAATTAAAAAAGAGAGTTCAGAATAAAAATAAACTGAACATTTTAGAACAAAAAAAGTTTGAACTGATTTCTATAAATGAGGTTCACTTCATTATTTACTAGTAATACTTATTTAAATATTCAAGCAATAATCTGTATAAAAATTCTATTTCAGAAGGGATTTTTGTAGGAAACTTACTCAATTTTAGAGAATATTAGAGAATTTTCTAAAATGTACAAAAGCCAGAATTAAACCAGTGCACCAGGAGAAACTGACAAAATCCAGTAGTCTACTGGAAAAAAAAAACCAGTTGAGTTGGCAACTATGCATAGCTACATATTTACCACATTTTACCTCTCCTGGAAATTCTTGATAAACTGTTTTGAGTGGTTTCATTTGTTTCCTAATGCATTTATTTCCTTATGAATAACAATTTACTGGACTTAAAACTGGGGTGGGAAGGATATAAAAGAGAGGGAACTTAACTATTGAAATACAGACAAGTGAGATATTTTTCTTATAGATTTTTCGTTTGTACTTAATCATAGGAAATCAACTCTTGAATTCAGCAGAATAATTAAGGTTTTATATTAGGGGTGCACAACCTTTTTGAGTGAAGGGCCACTTTAACAGCAGGTTGACTAACAAAGGGCCACACATGTATTTAGACATGTTGATGGCAAATGTACTAACATTTAGCTAAACATTAGTGTTCTAATTTTTTTTATCAATAAACTTAATAATATATATGTAGAAAATTAAAGGCCTTCAATTATTAGTATTCATTCAAAAATAGATTTATTAAAATAAATAAACATTGGAGAAAAGAAATGTTTTTTTTTTTTTAATCATTTAACGCAATACAAAAATTCATATCAAAAATAAATTCTAATAAAAAAAAACTGCAATGCTCACAGAGTGAAAGTAGGAAAAAATTAAGTACATATTAAGTATTATAAATTTAAATGAAATATTTGTCCCTCAGTGGACTGATAGTTAAGATCAGCAGATCACTGAAGTCAAGCATCAATGGCTGCGGTTAGTGTGCGGGTAGGTGACCACTTGGATCAGTCTGCGTACGAACCGAGGGTGTTCAGTATTGGTCCTCGTTAAACTGTTCTACCGTAAATTGCTCTACTTCTCATGCAGATCGTCGGGCTACCGAAGCGGGGGCGCCATCCCCTCTGCAGAGGATCAAAATTGTGATGGCATGTCTTTGGATCATCCTCATTGATATTTCTCAGACCGTCGCCAATAGCCCTCTGTGCAGCTCTAGTGAGACGTAAATGAACAACAACAAATTAAATATTTCAATTGAAGAAAATTTATGAAATTTAAACAAAAGCCTAAAATCAAAACAAAACTGTTATAGTTCAAAATAAAATTTAATACTTATTGTACTTTATTTTTCTTTTCATTGAATATTAGATTTTTTTGTATGGTAATTAACCTAAAATTAAAACAAAACTGTTATACTTCAAAATAAAATTTAATACTTATTGTACTTTCTTTTTATTGAATATTAGATTTTTTTATATAGCAAGCATTTTCTTTTTTTTGTACCAAAAAAGATCACTTAACAAAACAAAAAATTGAAATCAAAATTACAAACAGTGAACAGTTTGAAAATTCACATTTCCTCCACTTGGTGAATTTCTCAGGCTGCACTTACATTGCATTTAAATTAGGGATGTAATAAGTATTTGACCCTTTTGTCAAAATTTAGTTGGCCAAATGATCTGCTAAATATTCAGCACAGTATTTTTCAGAAAAGTATTTTTCAACTTTTTTTTGAATTTATATAGATTTGATAAGGATTAATATAAAATCATATTTTTAACTACATTATAGTATTGTTTATTATAAGATATGATTTTTACACAAATTCGTTAAATTTTAAAATCCTTGTTTCTGAACACGGCTTGCAAATTTATCTTCTAGAAGACACATGGAAAAACAAAATTTGAAGAATTGAAACTAGATTACTTTACAGTGAATTCAAATTTTTGCACCTCTGCTTTTTCTTTAAAAAAAAAAAAATTATATTCAGATAAGTCAATTTCCTCATTTTTTCAATACTTTTTGTTCTAAGAATTCAGAAAGTTGTTTTTTCTTTCATTTTTGCTGTTTTTATTATAACATAGCATTTTTACAGTATTTTTAGGGAACAACTATTAATTTATTGTCACTTTTTCCCTGTACTATAATATAGATAACCAGTAACATAGATAACTTTGACTTTCATTGTTAAAGTTTTGTTTTAGGAACTAAGAAAAAAAAAATCTTTTTTGGTCTGTTTTTCTTTTAATCAATTTACTTTTCTTTTAATAGGCATTTTTATTATAACACAGCATTTTTTTTAAATGAACGTTAGTAAAAAAATTTATTTTATAGCAATTTTTTTTTCTTCTAAAATTATGGCAAAGTGTAAAATTTAGATTTTCATTAAAATTTTTTTTATATTTTTTGATGTTTGAACGTTTTATGCTTTTGCTTCTATCCATCTTTTTTTTCTTTTTTTTTTAATTTATGCACGTTTTTAATAAGCGCCACAATTTTTAACAGCATTTCTGTTAGACTTACTCTTTTTTTTCTGGCAAATTGGAAAACTGAGATGTTCAGACTTAAAATTTTCTTTTGAAAATTAAGATCGATTTTTATTTTCTTTACTTCCCTTTTGTATACAAACTTTAGTTTTTATGATAAGTGCGGCATTTTTAAAAATGTTTCTGATCGGCCTAATTTTTTAGCAGAATGATAAATTTTAGATAACAGAATGATAAGTTTTAGAAAGGAAAAAAAAAAATTAATTCAATTTCTAATTTGCAACAAGTTGCAACACATTTCATTTGAAACGAAACATCAGCGTACATTACCAATCCATTGAAAATGTAGCATAAGAAATTTTTTTACATATATATTTGAATAGAATATTTTCTAAAATAATTTAACAGATTACTTCATAATTAACCTATCACTATTTTAATTGGTTAAAGAATTTTGTAATTTTAATGCATGATTGGTGGAAGAATTATTCATAGATTTTTTTGTAATATCATGAGCATTTCAATCTTTAAATTATTCTTAATTTTTTAATGAATGATCAACAAAAAATTTTTTGAATAATAAGGCAAAATTTTTTTTAGTTAGTTTCGAATGAGTTAAGTTATTTCGAATGAGTTCCAATTTTATACACCTTACAACTAAAAAAATAGAAACGAATCAAACAAAGAATCAATGATCGTTAAAAATTTCTCTTACATGTAATTTCCTAAGATTCGAATTTCATGATAAAACTTTTTTGATTCACTTAAACGAGTTCCCGTGATTTGGCGAAATACGCAAAAAGTGCCCTAACTGCTCACGTGAGAAAACTATTGGGAACCTATTTTCCACCAGGCTTCGATGGTCAGAAATTCGCATTTGCAAAAAGAAATTATAATTATTCAGTACGCGTCATAATTCGAAACTTGATTAATGATTAACGATAATTAACTAACATCGGATTATTTGGAAAAGAAATTATCATTATGCCTTTTTTGTTGTTGTTTGTTTACTAAACACATAAGAGGGCAAAACATTAGTATGAAAATTTGAACTTCGGGGACAGACAAAAATGTGAATAAACGTATAAACGGTGGGTGGCTGATTAATATTCATTAAACTAGTGAGAACTGTTAATTCAAAAAACCAAATTTTAATATTTTTATGAATTATAAAAAAAAGTTTTTTCTTTTTAGACCATTTGACATGCAAATTAACGA